AGGCTATAGCATCCCACTTTATTGGCAAGGAGATTAATGCCAAGAAAATTTAAGCAACTTGCCAGGACCCTATACAAATGTATAGGCAAATGAAACTGAAATAATAAGCCTATGTGGGTGCAAACACTTTTTTTTTTAAATCCAGGTAGAGATTTTTCTCAATGCATGTTTCTCGTGAATGAATTGCTATCAACCTCACCCTCCCAATGTGTGAGCTGAGGACTTGCTCGGAGGCCAACACCTGGCATCCACCGAGTGGTTATTAGCACCTGGTATGGCTGGACACATCCCAGCTGCCCACCAACTGTTTCGCTCTTCTTTCCCCCAGTGTTGACCTCCTCCACTGCAGCCGATGCAGTTCTGTCGCAGCTGACCATCCCGGCCGCCCACCTTGTAGACAGTGGCAACTATACCTGCCTGGCCTCCAACTCCATGGGTAGGAGCAAGCTCATCATCCCCCTCCATGTCCAACCCGCCCAGGCCCTGCCCGCCCCTCTCTCTCCCTCCAGCCCCTCGGAGGGCCATGCCTACGTGGATCTGCGGGTCGTCAAGCCCACGGCGCATGGGATCTTACTGCAATGGCTAGCCGTGGCCACTGGCCCTGAGGAGGAGTGGTTCACCTTGTACGTGGCATCGGATGCGGCTCTCCAGAAGGAGGTGGTCCACATTGGCCCTGGCATCGACACGTACGCCGTAGAAGACCTGCTCCCTGGCACAAAGTACGAGGCATGCATCAGCCTGGGCAGCCAGCCCCCACACCATGGCCAATGTGTGATCTTTGTGACCGGCAGAGATGGCAGTGGACTGGAGGGTCGAGAGCGACTTCTGCACATCACGGTGGTCCTATGTGTTGTGCTGCTGGCAGTGCCCGTGGCCATTTATGCCTGGGTGGCCCAGGGCCTCTGCAGCTGCCGCCAATGGGGCCTCTTCTGCTGTCCTCGTCACAGGAAAGTCCCCAGGTGTCCCCATGCAGCCCCACAGGACAGGGACAGCTCCTTCAGAGAGCATTCGATCATCTGGGAGGACCCTGAGGGCCACAGAGACACTGAAGTGGACAAGGAGAAAGGGGAAGGAGATGGCAGCTGAATCCCGCAGGGTTGGGGTGCAAACTGGGTGAGCCTCTGGCCGTAGAAGCCAACCCTGCCCAGAAGCTCGTCATGTCCCCACTGATGTACTCAACACGTATTGGTCTAGTTTCTCTTGTGTTTTAGGCACTGAACTTGACCCGGGGAGCCTAATAGAGGAAAGGAGATCACAGTCCTTGTCCTCATGGAGCAAAACCATTGGGACTTTGTTCTGTTCAATTGATTGTTTTGAGGGCAAATGTGGTGCAGCTGGTTAATGCTGCTCCTGCAATGCCAGCATCGCATATGCACACTGGGTTCAGTCCCAGCTGCTTTGCTTCCCATCCAGGTCCCTGCTAATGTGCCCAGGGGTGCAGCACAAGATGGTCCGGATCCGTGAGCCCCTTCCACCCAGAGAGGGACATAGCTAGAGTTCCAGAATTTGGGCTTTCACCCAGGTCCAGCCTTGGCCGTCATGGCCATTTGGGGATAAATCGGCATGTGGAAAATATCTATGTGTGTCTGTTACTATCTCTGTGTAACTCTGCCTTTCAAATAAATAATAAAAACAATCTTTAAATACTGATAACTGTGCTTTATTTTGATTAGTTATCTCTTCATCTATTTTATTTTGATCATTAGGAGAAATTATTCTTAATAAAATAAAAATTAAAGGACTGCTTTTTTTAAAAAAAAAGTTTTATTTGTTTTTATTTCAAAGTCAGATATACAGAGAGGAGGAGAGACAGAAAGATCTTCTGTCTGCTGATTTACTCCCCAAATGGACACAAGGGTTGGGAGCTGAGTTGATCTAAAGCCAGGAACCAAGAGCTTCTTCCAGGTCTCCCACACAGGTGCAGAGTCCCAAGGCTTTGGGCTGTCCCAGGCCACAAGCAGGGAGCTGGATGGGAAGTGGAGCTGCCGGGATTAGAACCAGTGCCCACAGGGGATCCCTGCGCATTCAAGGAGAGGACTTTAGTGGCTGGGCTAATAAAAAGACTGCTAAAGAAGCATCACTGCCTTGCCATTAGAGGCCAATCTCCATGTCAGGTCTGCTGGTCCAGGATTCTCTCCAGCTTTCTAGTCATCAGAGAGACAGAATTCCTGGAGTTTTTAGAGATACGGGGGCCTGTGACTCCCCTGCCCCACCCCACTCTGCCAGCATGGTCCCAGAAGGACAGCTGCTTGAGCACAGAGTCCCATAGGTTCCCCTAGGGACATCCTGTCACTTCCTTGCACCCACAGAGTGAAGATTCCCAAGCTCAGACTGCAAGCTGCACAGGTCCCAGACGGGTATTGTGACATCTGCCCTATTGTCCTAGACCACTCTGCCCTCTTCTTGCACACAGGTGCCCAGGGCTGTAGATGGATGACAGCATAATGAGGCAGCTCTGTGGGCCAGCCATCCTCAAAGGAACTCTAACCCAATTAAGGTTAGTAACTGCCCGAGGCCTTATCAGTAGCTACAAGGCTCCATGGTAGGTGCTTTGCATATATTAGCACTTGTCATCCACCCAGCAACAATCCTTTGCACCCTGGATAAAAAGAGACTCCATCTCTTATCTAAAGTCACACTCCAGTGGCTGAATCCAGAATCAGCCCTGGGGCTGTGAAGCTGTAAAGCACTTCCTCAGTTGTTCTGATTAGAAAGTTTGAGCTCAGCCACCAGTGTGGAGGCTGATTGTTCTGGGCTAATTCACTGCTGGTCCACAGGCTGCTGTTCTAGAATCAGAGAGGGAGGCCTGCCCAGGTTGCAGTTTTTGTCTCAGCAGCTCACCTGGGCTTCTAACGCTGTTTCGGCGTGTAGTTGCAGGCCTGAAATCGTGTGACTGAGGAGGCAGCCCCGTAACCCAGTTATCCCTGAATGCAGTGGGACTTGGCTGCCTGTCCCCGTCCCTGCACTCCACTCCATGGGTAGCGTCCCTCCACATCTGACCACATCTGCTGGGCCCTCCTCCCTTCTCCAGTGTGACTCACACTGGCCACTAGATTTCCAAGCGTGGCTCTGCTTTAAGTCCCTGGGGCTTGTCCTGCCCTTGCAGGATGGCATGGGGAGGCAGTTGATTCTAATTCCTGATCCCATCCCCTTGCGTGGGGCTGTGCTTTGATAAACAGGCCACACTGGACACCTACGGGTGACAATTCGGACACAACTTAGCAGGCTTTTGGAGAGTAGAATCTGGCAGTCGGGATGGCTCCGGCCACCAGAGGAGCCAGATGGAAGGCTGAGCTTGGCACTGTGTCAGGAAGGCTGAGTGGAGAGTCAGAAAACAAACACAAGAGGGGAGCGGGCATACGGCTTGGCCTTTGGGGAACAGATTTTATTTGCCATTTCTAAGAGGTGGACCGCATGCGATTGTGTTCCTGGTGAAAGACTTCGACAATCCACTGCAGCCTGTCTGGCACCTCTCAGTCAATACTGTCTGGGTTGAGGACCGCAGTCATCCAGTGAGGAGCCTGCGTACTGGCACACTGAGTAACACCTCAACACACAGGCTCAGAATCCAGCAAAAACTCACGTGCAAGTGTGATCTCCCAACAGCAGGGTCCCGGAAGTGGGGCAGGACCATTCTGTTCTCCATGGGGGCTTAGTGTGATGTCAGTCCGCGGGAAGACTCAGCAGGTGTGCCCTGGCTCGAGCAACACCCAGGATCCAGGACCACTCAGACTTGATCCCTGCGACCCACCTACTGTACATCCTCAGGCCAATCACTCCCATCCTGGGAACTCAGTGAAACACAAATGTGGACTGGGTGCTGCCGCCCAGCTCCAGTCCTCTCTGGCAGTGGCAGGGGAGAACAGAGAGGGCGACGTGTGGTCCCAGCCAAGCCAGTATCCAGCTCTGATGGCTGAGGACAGATAAGTGACAGCTCCCCAAATCCTGCACAGTGCCTCCTGGGGTGCTCGGGAGAGCAGCAATGAGGCTTCTGCTTTCCTGGAGGAGGCTGCTCTGTGAAAAAGCACAAGCCTTATACCTGGCTCTGGTTCTTACCACCACTGTCCACTTGCATCCAGTGGGGCAGGAGGGGATTACTAAGTTTCACAGATGGAAATAAGACAACAGGGAGTTTCTGTGGTTTCCCTGAGGCTGATGGGTGCAGAAGAGCCAGATAACCAGAGGGAGGCCTCGCCATCTCTCAGTCCTGACACCCATCGACCACCCTGCACTACCTCTTTAAGGTGCACTGGGAGGCTCCTCTCAAGGGGTACTTTGACCCTTGTGTGGATGTTTCTGGGGCTACCCTTGTGGTTCCAGCTCGGATCTTTCCGGACCAAGGTTCTTTGCAACTTGGAGTACCTGCAAGACCCATGCTAGGCTTCTGTGCTCCTAGTTACAATGGAAGCCCACAATCTCTTCCCACATAGCCCAAAGCCCAAGGCTTCAGAGGCACAGTGCTGCAGCCAGCACACATGGGTCTTGCTCCCTCTTCCTCCTCTTGCCTGCATTTGCTTTTCTGCAGCTCAGGGGCTCACTCACCTCCAGGGCTAAACACGCATTTCTTCCTGCACCTGCTCTTAGCTGCGGGTTTCAAAATCTAGGTTGCTGACTAGTCGGTCTTGTCCCGAGGGTCCCTGGATACTCAGAATCCAGCAGAACACAAGGGACTGTGAGGTCTGGGGTTGGTGAGTGACTACAAGAGGCTCTCTGTTTATCCCCAGGCTCTAAGGAATAGGGAGAATCACAGCTGTGTCCAGGGTTTAGGATATCAGTCTGTCAAGCAGATCCCACTGCCCAAGAAATCCCTTGCCCAGGACTCTGGGGCCGTGTGTGTGTGTGTGTGTGTGTGTGAGAGAGAGAGAGAGAGAGAGAGAGAGAGAGAGAGAGAGAGAAGGGGCTCACATCATTGTACAAACCAGGGGCAACTTTGTGGAGCAGGCTGTGGGGAACGCTGGGGGTAACAGAGTGGGCAGAGTTGGATAATAGAGTGACAGAGTCTAGAAGTAAGCCTTGTTGTCTCTGCTTTTCTTCTCAAACTTCTGCTTGAGCTCAGAAACCAGAGTTGACTGGACAGGGGTCTCTGAGGTTTTGGCTTCTGACAACTCTTGGGGCTCCGGGGAAGAGAGGGATCCCGAGATGGTGGGCACTGTCCAGTGGGCTGCGGCTGTGTTGGGTGGAGAGCTGGCGGGTGGAGAGCTGGCAGGTGGAGGCAGAGCTGGAGCCGTGGGGGGCAGTGGGTTCACTGGGTTGTGGTTGTTGTAGTTCTCGTTGGGAGGATCCTCCTTGAGCATGAACTTGGTGGCAGCCTTGGCCTTCCTGGACTTGAGCCACTCAATGCGGACGGCACGGGGCGCAGGGCTAGGGCGCTTGCGGATCACCCGTCGCACGGGCAAGACCTTGTTGGATTTCTTGTTGCGCCAGAAGGTGGCAGTGGAGATGATGATGGTAATGGCCACCACAGTGGCCATGATGCCAGCCAGCACACCCACAGCCTTCATGGGGTTGTCCTTGGTGTGAATCAGGAAGGCAGCCATGGGGTCTCGGGACAGCGTCTACAAGACAAGGAGCCCTGTTGTGCCTTCAGTTGCTTCTGGGTGGTCTCAGAGGGGTGGGGGTTGGGGTACCAGCTGCCTGCAGCCAGATGGTTTTTAAAGCCTGCTGGAAGCAGGTACCCCAGGAGCATGTGGTGAGCACCAGAGGCTTCTCTCCAGAAAGAACCACACACAGGGAGAGTGTGGCCCAAACCACCCATCCAGAACAGTATACTCCTAGAGAACAAGAGGTCAACAGCCTCTGTTGGAATCAAAACTCCTGCCTTCCCAGGCTCTGGCCTTGTGGTACAGAATATTACCTGCCTTTGATTCTGGGGGATGAGACGCCTGCCCAAAGGTACCAGGGGTCCTTTAAGGGATGACTTCCTGAGATTGTTAGGAAGGAAGTTCAAGTTCAATCTATTTATGTGATGGGTGCGTAAGGAAAATGAAGCTGCGGCAGAAGGCATGGGACAGCCTTGGATGCAGCTCAGGATTTTACAGTGCAAAGAGCTACCCGGACGCTGATAACATTATAGGTGGTCCCAGCCTTTACCTTGCCTCCAAAGAAAGCCCCCTCCCTTCCCAGCATCAAATGGACTACCCAGCCTGATAACAGTGGCCAATAAAGCTTTGTAGCCTTCCTCCAATGAAGGTACCCTAGGGGAATTTCCTTTGCCCCAGTGCCAGCCAGCCCTGGAACACTGCATTAAGATCTTGGGCGGAATTTTACCTGTTCCGTCCAGAAGAGGGAGACAGAGAAGAGAAACCCCTTAAGTTTAGTGTCTGACTTAAGTTTAGTGTCTCCCTCAGACTGTGCCTGGAGAGGTGCCCATCTGAAAAGGAGGCGTCATTGCTCCTGGTGCATGGGAAAGGTAATGGGAGCCTTAAGAGCAGAGGGCTGGGCTGAAGGAGGCATTGAGGGAGCAATAGGGTGGACAGGAAGTCCAGCCAAAGTCACATCACTACTAGGCACTGATGCAAAGCCATCAGCCTGATTCCAACATGTGTCTTGCAGGCACAGGCCACCTTGGGAGCAGACAGCATCTTCAGGAGCAAGCCTGGAGACAGCTGTCTTTCCCTGTCTGTCTGTGCTATGGGAGCCCTCTGCTCGCTTGCCATGTCCAGGCCTTGGCACCCACCTTAGCATCTGTGATATCAATCTTGAGTAAGGCCGTGGTGCTGAAGGACGGTGAGCCACGGTCCTTGGCCTGCACCTGGAGGGACCACGTGCAGTCCTCCCCACTGGGAGTGATATTGTGCAGGACTTCCAAGGAGCTGATGGAGTTCTTGAGCCGGATCTCCCCGGTGTGAGCATCGATGTCAAACACATTGACTGGCTCAGCATGGGTGATGGAGTAGTCCACCAGGTTGTTGGGCTCCTCGGCATCCTGGTCCGTAGCCTGTGTACAGGGAGCGACAGACAGCACTGGGCTCTGGGGCAACATCTGTGTAAACCAGGTCATGTGGGGACTTGCTGGGGGGTGGGGTAGGGAATGATCCAAATCCCATGTGGAGTGGGTTGAATGGAAAAAGCAAAGGAATGTATGTGCTAGTACGGGTCGGGGTCTATGCTGGACCCTGTCTGTCTGCTGCATGTGGACTAGAAAATCCAAAGTCTAGGAGCCAGTGCCATGGCACAGCAGGCTAAGAATCTGCCTACAGTGGCAGCATGCCATCTGGATGCCCGTTTATGTCCTGGCTGCTCCACTTCCAATCCAGTGATCTGTTGATGGCCTGGGAAAGCAATAAAGGATGCCCATGTCCTGCACCCGTGTGGGAGAACCAGAAGCTCAACTCTGGCCATTGCAGCCCCATGGGGCATGAACCAACAGATGAAAGAACTCCGCTCTCTCTGTAACTTTGTCTTTCAAATTAAAATAAAACAAATGTTAAAGGAAAAAAAAAAAAAAAGAACAAGCCATAGTATAGATGCAAAAATGAGAGCTTTGGTGCCACGTGACTCGGCCAAGGACACAGAGGTAGAAGCCGGGATTCAAGGTCAAGTCTGTGAGGTGTCAGGGTTTAGGCTTCTCTCCAAACTAGGAAGAGAGTTAACTGCAGTGGGCCAAGCATTGCATTGGCAGCAGGAGGGAGAGCTGCATGAACTATGGCAAGCCAAGCACGCACGGAGCCTGTCTGAACCTCAGGGTTTGCCTTCGTAAATTTCCGATGCCATCTTTCTCAGAGCTACTGAGCTACAGAGCTGAGGTGGCAATGGGAATAAAGAACCTCCAAGTCCTTTGCCCATGCTAAGACTACAGTCCACTGTATTCTAAATTAAATTTCCATGCCCCATTGTTTGTAGCAGCTGCAACCAGAGCTTCAGGGGATGCCGGCTGCCTCTAAAACCCACCTCAATCCTCACTGGGATCCCCAGCACCATCGTCTTCTCCTCGATGCTCTTTCCAAACTGGGGGTAGTGGTCATTGACATCCAACACTATGACACACACCTCGGCCAGACCGGACCTTCCCTCCATGTCCTCCGCCTTCACATAGAAGTTGTACCTGGATGTGACCTCAGCGTCCAGGCTGGCCCAGGGCTGGGTGTAGATGAGCCCAGTGGCTGAGTGGATCAGGAACCTGCCAGGCATAGAGAGCAGAGGTGTGGTGTGGGGAGCACATACATTTAGATAGGCATGCATCTGTATTTACACGTATACTCAACTGGCACACACACAGGCACACATATGCACACACACACACACATACATACACACACACGTGCCTGCAGTGACAAGCTGCCTCTGGGGAGCAGCAAGGAGGCATTGTGCAGGTTCCCCAAGGTGTCCTTCCTATGCAGGCTCCTAGTCTGATGAGAAAGGGAGGCAGAGCTAGCCACCAGCTCATCCACCAATCACCACTGAACTCAACAGCCCAAACCACAGCCCTTGCCTCCTCCCCAGCGCAGCCCTGCTCTCCCGGTTCTCCCGGGCTCCTAAGGCTGAGCGTCCTAGCTCCATGCCATGACCATGTCCTCTCCAGCACCTCTGCCCCAGCCTCACCGCTGCCTCCCTGCACAGCCTCCTCTCATCCCTGCCTTGCACTCTGGTTATGAGGATTATCTGCCTCTTCCACCCAGCCTCCCATCCTTTCCGAGTGCCTCCTGACTTCGGCAAAGACTCTCTCCTCCCACAGCGCCCCACATCCCACAAGGTTCTGTTTGGGGTTTTACGTACAGGTTGGCTTCGCTCCCAGAGATAGAATATTTGACTTCACCCCAGGATCCTGTGTCTGGATCCAGAGCCTGGAAGAGAGAAACTCCTTGTGGCACCTGCCCAGGGCACCCTGCAGTCCCTGTGTCTGGGGGCTGCTTTCAGTGGTCCAGCAAGGGGAATCTAGGGTTTGTCCAACACCGGGGATGTGCTGACCTGAAGGTTGCAGGGAAGCCCAAGCTTTCCTCCAAGGCCTTAAGTTTTAGAGGAACTAGAAAGCTTGAGAACCGGAATGTCTCTATTGCCCCTTGATGCGTGAGGCAGGGAGAGAGACTGGGTCTTGTGTCCTAGGCTTGTCATAACTGCAAACCTGTGAGGCTTGTTATCCCCACTGTACAGGTGAGGAAACTGAGGCAAAGAGAGAGCACGGAGCTTGTGCAAGGACATGGCCGATGCAGGCTGTGCAGCTGAAACGGGGCCCAGTCCTTTCAAGGTTCCCCCAACTCACTGTGACAGCCACCACGTGGGTGCCCCCCGGGGCGTTCTCAGGGATCCTGGCAATGTAGTAGTGGGAGGTGAAAGTGGGGTCATTGTCATTGGTGTCCTGGAGCTGGATCACAACGTCTGCTGTGGAGCTGAACTTCTCAGGGGTGCTCACTTCCACGGCCAGCAGCTGCGCACGGCAAGAATGCAAGGTCCGGTCAGGGCGGGTGGTCGCCTGATCCAGACCTGCCCCCCTCTGTCTTCCCACAACAGCTCCAGCACCTGCCTGCTGCTCCTCCACCATCTGCCAGGGTCACCTCCTAGCCCCGCATTGTTCCCAGTGGGTTTGCAATGACAGTTTTCTTATCATTGATGCCAGAAAACGTATATTACAGGACAAAAAAAAAAACACGCATGGTTCTAAAAAAAAAATATTTTCTTCAACTTGAAAAGCAGAGCAGGAGACAATTTCCGTGTGCTGGTTCATTTATCTAGCGCAGTAACAGCCAAGGCTGGCCAGGCCCAAGCTAGGAACCCATCCTGGTTTTCCGCCTGGGTCACGGGGGCCCAAGTGCTTAGCCCCTCACCTGCTGTCCTCTTAGGTGTGTCAGCAGCAGGCTGGATTGGGAGAGAGTCAACTGGGACTCAAACTGACACTCATAAGGGGTGCTGGCATCACAGACGGTGCCTTAACCCACTGTGCCGCCAGGGCGGTCCCTCAATCCTCTTTCCTGATGCTTGTACCTCTTGCTTCCTTTTTCATCACAGCAATAGTGTTATTTTGGAAATTATGTTCCATAAGTGTTGGTAGCAGGCACCTTCCGCTGTTCCTGGCATTGCATGTTGTATTAATCCATTTTTCAAAAAAAAAATTGAATATTATGGCACAATTCCATAGGGCCTGGGATTTCCCTACCCATTTTTAAGCGTGATACTAGATATAAGTGTGTCTGTGCTTGTTTAGATAATATCAGTGAAATATCTATTTCTTATTTCTATTCACATATAAATTGTATACTATTATATGGAAAGATTTCCAAAAGTTCATGGGAAATGTGATGACTTTTACTTCAATTTTCTACAAACGTTCTAGAGGTCCTTTGTGCAATATGTATTATTTATGTACATTGATAATTCTATAGTATTATAAACTATATCAAACGAGCATTTGCCTCTTCTGCTAAGGTTGCTACAAGATCAGGTGTCAGGTGTCAATGGCAGGTAAGAAAAACCTCTGTCTTAATCATCAAATAGTTTCTACAAACAAGACAAACCATCCAGATCATTTTCTTCTGATAATCTCACTCCACTCCTTCATGTTCCTGGGTCTAGTTATAGTTTAGAAGCCGGAGCTAAGCGACCAAGTGCTCAGGAAAGGCGAGATCCCACCAGGAATGGCCATGACTCCCGTCACGGTGCCTTGGTTCACGCACTGGCTCTGCGCCCGAATCAGCTGCCTGCACCTGCACTCCCAGGAAGGCAGCCGGTGACGGCTCAAGGACTTCAGCTCTCTGTCATCCTCGTGGGGAACCCCGATTGAACTGCAGATTCTCAGCTTCTGCCTAGCCCTGCCCCGACTCCTGGCATTTGGGGAGTAACCAGCAAGTGGGAGCCACCTCTATCTCTTTGCCTCTCTGCCTTTTAAGTAAATAGCTTCAAGAATCAGAATGGTGCACAGCAGGTCTGAGAATCACTGCTTCTCCCTGCTGGCCTGCCACCTGCTCCCCCGTGCTAGCAGGAAGGCCAGGGGGTGAGAGAGCCTGTCAGTGAATGGGTGTTGGTGTGAGTCTGGGAGGATCCTGGCCAGGGCACAGCACCACCTACCTTGAAGGCCAGCACGTTGTACTTCTCAAAGTCAATGGCGGCAGAGTTCTCCACGATGATGGTGACCTGGGCCTCGTTCAGGACGGTCTGTGGCACCACCCGGAAGATACCCCCTGGTCCTACCAGCCGCAAGTTGAACTTGGCATTGGCTCCCTGGTTGGTAGAGTTTGAACAAAGGAAAGAGGGTAGACAGGTGAGAATAGAAATGTTATCTAGAATGGCCTTTCTCTTCATGGGAGTATGTTCCAAGACCTCCACAGATGCCTGCCTCTTCAGAGAACAGCCAATTCTGCAAAGCTACGTCCATAGCTGTGCCAAAGTTCAGTTTAGGCATGGCAGAAATGAGTAACAAAAGCTAATAATAAAATAGAACAACCATAACAATGGGTTCTAATAAAAATGCTCAAAGCTTATGAATGGTTTATTTCTAGAGTTTTTCACTTAATATTTTGGGATGATGTTTGATTTCAGAAACTGTGGACAATGAAATAACATATAAGGGAATGGACTATAGGAGTTAGTGTCGCAGTGCAGAGAGCTAAGCTGCCACCTGCAATAAGGCCAGCATTCCATAGGGGCACAGGTCGCAATCCTGGCTGCTCCACCTGTTCCTGTGCCTGGGAAAGCAGCGGCAGATGGTACACGTGCCTGGGGGGAGACCAGGATGGAGTTCCAGGCTTCAGATTTTGCCCAGGCCCAGGCATTGCAGCCATCTGGGGAGTGAACCCGTGGGTAAAGCACCTCTCTCCCTTTCAAATAAATAAAATAAATCTTTAGGGAATAGAAACGACAGAATTCGTGTTAAACGAGGAGCCTCCGTATGCCTCTCGCCCTGGCAGCTGGGCAGTCACACTTTTCCCCCGCACAACTGCTGCTTGAGGCTCAGGAGGAATTAGCAAATTGTGGGGGATTAAGTCAGGCCACACACACGTGATGCCTGGTCCTGTGTTGGGTGTGGGCTCCCAAATGCTTGTTTGATTGACTTTTACTATTTCATTTCTTAATGTATTTATTTGAAAGGCAAAAAGAAGGAACAGAGAGAGAGAGAGAGAAGAGAAACCGCCCCCTCTTGGCTCACTCCCCAGGTGCCCACATGGCCAGGATCGGGTACGATGCATGAAGCTGGGACCTCAATCCAAACAGGTGGCAGAGGACAGTGAGCTGGCCTGTTGACTAATTGGTTCTAGGCTCTGCATTGGCAGGGAGACGGAGTCAGCAGCTCAAGATGGGAGCTGAACTCAGGTGCTCTGACCTTGGAGGTGCACGTCTTAACGGCCCAGGGTCTCAACGGCTCGACCAAAAGTCTGCCCTGGCTTTTCCTTTTAGGTGGATTTATTACTTTCATCTCAGCTGATTTGCCTTTCGAGTGGCTAAGGCATGGAGACAGCTATTCCCTCTCCTCTCCCTTTCACCTCGATCCTCTGGTCCCATTCCTTCTGACATCTGCCTGGCTCCCAGCGAGGGTGCATGCACACACCGGTGGTTTAGAAGGGAGGGCCACACACCTGATCGGAGTCATTGACGGTGATCTTGAGGCCTCGCAGGATCTCCCCCTGCGGCGGGTGCTCGTACATGGTCAGCTCAAACCTGTTCTGGGGCCCGCTCTCTCCATAGAACGTCGGGGGATGGTTGTTCAGGTCCACGACCCTGATGGTGATGGGGGCCACGGCTTGGTCCCCTGCGCTCCCTGCAGAACTGATCTCAGTCACCTGGGGAGGAGACAGGGTGTCTGGCTGCATGGCAGGTGGACACTCATTAGTCCCAGCGTGCCAAGCTCCTGACGTTCCTGCCTTTACAGAATCTCATCTCCTTCAGGGAGCTGTGGTCTGGCAAAGACCATGAGATCTCACTTCATGACCAGATCACAGGAATTTGTAACTTCTGTCTGGCTAGAAGATGCTCTCCCTTGCTGACCTGGAGGAAGCAGGTGGCTGTGCTGGAGGAAGCAGGTCCATGTGACCAGGAACTTGGGGTGATCTCTAGCCAACACCCAGCAAGGACTAAAGGTTCTCCTCGTCTAACATCCCAGGAAGAACTGCATTGCACCAATGAGCTCGTGAGCAAGACAGCTGAGTCAATTTGGAGACGCCAGTCCTGGCACCTCACAAGTACCACAGGAAGCTCTCCAGGTCTCCTTTCCTCTGGTTCTAGAAGGCTGCTCTCCTCAAATGAGCCTCCCAGGAGCCGATTCCTACACACACTGGCTGCTGTCCTTATTTTCTGTCTTCTCAGAAGCCAACACCTGCTGGCTGTACTTCTGGTTGCACACTCACTTCTCATCACGTCTACCTGGGCACCTCACATTGGCCTCTGTGCCAAGGCACGGGGCCACCCTTTCTGCTGCACAAGGGCCCTGTCCTCTCAGTTCTTGTGACTCTGCTCCCCAACAGCCTCTCCTGGGCCTCTCCGATGCCTCCCCTGGTCCTCCCCTGCCCCCAACCAACCAGTGGCCGTATTATGTGCAATCTGCCTCCATCCTACTTTGCAGTTCGTTCCTTTCTGTCATCCCACCTCCCTGCATCCCCACAGACCCTGCTTCACCATCACTGTCGTCCATCTTCCTGCCTCCCTCCCACACAGGTCCCTCTACACAAAAGTTGAGATGAGAGTTCTCGGATGCCAGGCTGGACCTGGTTGCCATGGTAACACGCACACTCCTGGGTAGACCCTGCACATGTGGAGTTTCCATTTCTAGGATTGAGTCTTGGAAAGCTTTGCGAGCCACGCTGTCCAGATTCGAGAATCCCAGTGAGGTAGGAAGACAGCAGAGCAAGCTTTCCCACAGCAACTTGCGGGCCTGCTCACAACCTGATCTATACTCTCATGGCTCCTGGGCAGGGCTGGCTCCATGGTTTGCAGGTGCAGGGGACCATGAAAACCATGACCAAGTGCAAGGAAGTGAGCAGTGAAGTGTTCAGCATGGAGCCTTTTAAATGCAGCTCCCGGGTGATTGCACGTGGCACACGCCCTGCTCTAGGAAAAACTCTTGCCTCACATCCAGGGCCTGTGTCGGCTCCTCTGGCCCAGCCTAGGGTTCCAACTCTTCTCCTTAACACATGCCTGTGAGCTTTTGGCTTTCGGTCTCACTTGTTTCCTGAATGCCCTGCCTACTCCCACCTCCAGGCTGCCCCGGGGTGCTTGCCCACTTGGAAGTCTTCACTTGGCTCCTATTCATTGCTTCTCTCTACCATCCTCTACCCTTGGAGTAGGAGCCCACACTTGGTGGAGGTCATTGCTGCTTCAGTCCTACCTGCTCCTGCATTTCCAAGACTCTGCTTGCGAATTCATCAGGGGCTGTGTGTCTGTCTGCTGCAGCCTCGTGGAGTAGGAGCTCCAGGGAGCAGCTCCCAGCTCACTTCTCAGACAGTGAATCCCAGGGGGAGGAAGGCCTGGGTCCCATCACCTCTGTCGCCTTCCAGAGCTAGAGGAGCAGACCAGTCTAGGAGGGACATTACCTGCACATGCAGCTCATACATTTCCCTCTGCAGCTGGGCAGGGCTCTGTGTGACGAAGATGGTTCCGGATGTCTCATTGATTTCAAAGGCTCCATCACTCCCTGGAATAGACATGTGACCTGCGATTCTGCAAAGGGCCACAAGGGGGCGCGCAGGGGAGTCGGGCTTCTGTCTGGCTCCCAGCTTCCATGCCTGGTACTACATGCGTGCAAGTGTGTGAGCAAATGCAGAGGGAGAAAGGAGGAGGCTGGAGAGTGAGAATGGCGAGCAGAGAGGGTGAGTGGCTCTTTAACGGGGCACAGGGCTGTAGGGGTGGAGGTAGAGGAGGCAGCCCAGGCTCCGTGTGCCCCTGCGTGATGGCAGCACATCCGCTCACCCACAGTGGAGCTGCTGCGGGGCAGGTGTGCCAGGTGAGTCCTGGGGTGAGGCACATGTGGGAAGTGCATGCATCTGGGCTTGGGCACCAGGGGTGAGGACCTGGCCTCCCCAGGACTGCAGAGCCCACCCAGGACCCCAACCCAAGCTAGAGCCAGTCAGGTTAGCAAGGCGGGCTGTCCATTTAGTGTCTCTGAGTAATGTCACCCCCTTATTGTAGTTTCATTCGCTCAACTCAACTGTTTCCTCTGGGCCAAAAGATGTAAAAAGAATAAGAGAGAGAGAAAAAAAGATAACCCAGCATTTTAATGAGCGTAAGGGATATTGCCATTGAGTGGCTGTCCAGGCTGAGGGGAGCTGAAACAGGGCCACCTGTGTGGCTTCTGTGCCCAAGAAGGACCACCTTCTGATGGGGAGGGCCACATCAGCCTCCCCGTGACTCTGGTGCTGCTGGTCTTGAGCGGAAGAGAACAGGGACCCAGTGCATTCTTGAACCTTGCCGTGGTCATGCCAAGAGTCGGAGCTGCAGCCCCCAAGCTGCCCAGACTCACCATTCACGAGGTTGTAGAGGATGCGGTTGGGGTTACCTCGGTCACCATCCATGGCCACCACTGTAAGTACCTCCGAGCCCTGGGGGGCGGGGAGAGAGCAGGGAGCAGGAGCAGCTGCCTGAAGCTCAAGGATCATTCTGGGGCTCCCTAACCCCAAAGCCGACCCCCCTCACAGGAGGAAGGTGCTTGTGCCCCGTCTCCACCCTGTACCCCAGGAAAAGAGCCAGGCCTCTGCGTGGGCCTGTAGCGAGTGTCTGGCGTGCAGTGCTGGAAGCCCTCCTCCTGCCTCCTAAATGAAGACTAGGGACCTTGAAGGAGAGGCGGGGTCTCCCACCCAGGCCGGCCAGGCCAGGTCTGTGACTTGTGGGGACTTATTGAGGAGCTGGGACACGAGGGATGGAGATTTGGTTGAGTGAGGAGTGATGCCAGCCCGTGAGCTGCGCCCTGTGGGATGTGTGAGGAAGGTCACGGTGCTCCAGGCTGATGGCCTGGGCCTGGGGTGGCACCCTCTAGGCCAGCTGCCAGAGGAGCCCTGCCTGGACCACACATGTCAGCCTCCTGCTGGCTACTTCCTTCTCTCACACGGGCTGCACCTGCACTCATGTAGATTGGAATAAAGACATGCCTGGCACAGGCTGGGCACCTAGAAGATACCCTCTGCTCCCCAACACATGAGCATGGGCTTGCTCTACTTTGCCATTTTCAAGGTTAAAGGACCTCCTTACAGCCAGGGCCTGGGAAAATCTAGAGCCAGCTTGTGTGTGTGCACGTGTGTGTGGAGTGACTCAGTGGGGAACAGCTTGGCATGCCTTGCCAGTGTGCTCAGGGCAATCACCCCGGTAGGGCTGGAGGCACGTGCAGGGGCTGCCGGCGGAGGGGTGCAGCCACCCACCGGGAGGGTGTCCTCGTACACGTAGCCGTAGTAGGGTGTGCCCACGAAGACGGGGGGCATGTCCTGGACGTCCTCCACGGTGACGGTGACAGTGGCAGTGGCTGAGAATACCACGTCGGCCCCGCGAAGCCTGCCCCCGCCATCCTGGGGAAGAATTTGGGGGCCACAGAAGCAGCATGAAGGCCTGCTCCCCGTACCTCGCAGCTGTGAGAACAGCTGTACTCTCTGGTTTTCTGCTTGCCCCTGTGCCATCTGGACTGCTTCTGCACTCCACAGATGGGTCAGGGGAGAGTTAAGCGAAGGATACACAAGGACCAGTGAGTGCCCACCGTCCCGGTAGGATAGGTGGACTTTCCAGGGCAGCACAACAGGCAGAGGCCAGAGTCAGGGTCAAAGTGCCCCTCCCCCCAGGGAACCAGGCTCAACCCCGACCCCCGCATCCCCCACAATATGCTCAGCCTGTGCTGGGGGCTGCGTGGCCAACGAGGTTAAGAGGGGCTGGTGCTGTGGCATAGTGAGCAAAGCAGCTGTCTGTAGTGCTGGCATTCCAAATAGGTGCAGGTTCTAGTCCCAGTTACTCTACTTCCCATCCAGCTCCCTGTTTATGGCCTGGGAAAGCAGTGGAGGACGGCCTAAAGCCTTGGACTCCTGCACCTGCGTGGGAGACCTGAAAAGCTCCTAGCTTCAACCTGGCTCAGCCCTGGCTATTGTGGCCATTTGGGGAGTGAACCAGTGGATGGAAGATTCTCTCTCTGACACTGCCTTTCAAATAAATAAAATTTAAACCCTGCCTCCCCCCCCAAAAAAAAAAAAGAGTATGACTTGGGACCCTGTCTTGGCATGTACTCGGTATACAGCAAGCCAGGCTTCAGTGTTGCCAGCAGGTGGGGCTGTGGCCAGCCTCCTGGTACAGACGGGTGTGGGAGGATCTGAAGCCACTTCCAGTCCTGTAACAGAAACTTCTTGGGTCTAGAGGGGAAGACGGCTGGCTCGCAGACTGGTGTCATCTGCACTCCATGACAGGAGAACCTGCTGAGCTCAAGCGCTAAGTGAACAGGTCAGGCTGAAGAGGTAACATGTGCCCCTGTGGCCGTACTGAAAGGGGTGTGTGGGACCCACAAATGCCCATGCGACAGGCACCTGGAACCGCCTAGAAGACTCTGGTTCTTTAGCCTCGAGGTCAGAGGAGGCTGTGTCTTCTGCAGTCCCTGGATGTCAGCTCTCTGGCACTCCATCCTCCTCCCCTCTATTTTCAGCTCTCCACCTTTCCACCCGTTCCCTTGTCCGCCCTGGTCCCACCCCGCCCCGGTCCCACCCCAAGATTGCTTCCCCAACAAGGGTTCAGGAAAGACCTGAAGCACCCTGATTCCTCCCTCTCTGTTACCTTGGCAACCACGGTGATGAAATGGGCCTGGCACTTCTCATAGTCCAGGGTGGCCCCAGCCTGCAGGCGCAGCACACCGCTGTGATGGTCCACAGCAAACTTGCCGGGGTACAGGTTCTGTAAGGATGGGGTGCAGCTGGGTCTTGGGCAAGAGCCCAGGCCAACCCTGAGAGTGTCCACCTGCTCCCCCAGCCCCTCCTCCCAAGGTCAAACTTCAGGGTCTCCTAGACCCTCAGGTCAACCTGAGTGTTCCCTTCCCCAAAGACCTTGGCATTTTTTGTCTTGGCTGGTTGTTGGTGGTGGGGCTGGGGGGACCAGGCTGAACTCTGGCTGCAGGTGGCAGTGGCAGAGGCACCTGCAGAGTGCTCTCTCCCACAGGGAGTGTGGCTCAAAGGCCATCTTGAGAGAGGGCAGTGTTGTGGTGCAGTCGGTTAAGCTGCTCTTTGCCATATTGCCAGCTTCCCATATGAGAGCACGGGTTCCAGCTCTGGCTGATCCAGCTCCCTGCTAGTGCACCTGGAAAGGCAGTGGAGGATGCCCCGAGTGCTTGGACCCCTGCCACTCCAGTGGAGTTCCCGGCTCCTGGTCTCGGCCAGCCCAGCCCGTGCGGCCATTTGGGGAGTAAACCAACACATGCAAGCTGTCTCTGTCTCTCCCTTTCATTCTGCTACTCTGTGTTCAAATAAACAAATGGGGGGATAAAATGAGAGCCATCCTAAGGGAGACAGGCAGGGGGACCTCACAACCTTCATCAAGCAAATGGCTGTGGGCCAACCCCAGGCAGCACCTGGCCGGGGTGGGGAGAGCAGCAGGAACTTGCCACTGCCTGAACGGGGCTGGCTGGACCTCACGGGGCCACCTGCAGGTGGGAGGCAGCAGGCGGCAGGTGCCAGGTGAGTTCTTCAGGGATTTGAGTCTCACCGCAACCCATATGCTTTTCTCTTTCTTGTCTCACATTCAGGCAAACTGAGAGCGAGACAAGGCAGGGAAGGTATTGCACGTCACACAGGGTACTGAGCCAGGGGTCTCCCGGGGCCTGTGGTCTTATCCATCGAGCTGCACTTCTCAGTGGGTGCAGGTGAAGAGAAGGGCAAAAGCAGCAGAGGGGTGCGTGCGTGTGTGTGTGTGTGTGTGTGTGTGTGTGTGTCTCCACTGTGGGGAGACCAGAAGGGGTAGCAGGTGTCTTTGTCTGGGGTGGGGTGCTGCCTCTGAGAAGTGTTCCTCCCATCACCTGTTCTTGGCCACTGTGGATCCAAACAGGTTTCCTCAAACCCACCCCCCCCGCCCGTGTACCCCCTGTGTACCTCACCCCCTGTGGACCTGGGGAGTTCCTGGGGAAACAGACTCTGTTGACCTGGAACCCGGGCACCCTCAGAGGAAGCCAGGCTGGGTCAAGCTGGGGCAAGAAAGATCTGTCCCTTTCCAATCCGCACCTGCTGGGCCCACCCTGCTGCCCTCTGCGGAGGAGAGGACTCAGGCATGGACCCAAGGACATCGGTGATGGGGTGGGAGTGGGGAGGCTGCTCAGAGTTCCCTCCAGCCAAGGTCCCTGGCTGTATCCTGTGTGTGCTGCCTTACCTGCAGGAAGTAGGTGACACTCCCTCCAGAGCCTGTGTCCTTGTCCACTGCACGGACGGTAAAGATGCTGCTCCCGGGAAGTATGTCCTGAGGGGGTCACGGTGTGTTTAGTGACAGCTCAGGGAGTCAGAGGCACAGGGACCCACGGGGCAAAAGGGACAGGAGGGTGAAGGGCTAAACAGTGGGGGAGGGGCTGTGGAATGAGGGGACAGGGACAGCAAGAAGGTGGCCCAGAGGCTCCACTGAGGGACCAGAAAAGAAAACCAAGGCCCCAGGTAGGAAACAGCGCAAATGAGGACAGGTTTCAGGATCTCCAGGAGTCACACACACACATGCACACATAGTATGTCAGAATCAGCAGAATCCTGTACCCATGATGTTGAGGCAGCCTTAGCATGTTTCTCCTACTTGGCACATATCTGGCACACAGGGAAGACAGATTCTCCCCCTTTTTGCAGCGCAGGGTTTTATAAGGTTCTAGCACAGCCCTCGGCAAACACAGGCCTTCATGCTGCCGCCTGCTGATTATATCACACCCCGGATTGAACCTAAGCAAATGCTCTCAATCACTGAAAAAATATTCCTGTGCTCCGGAGTCAGCGTTTCTCAAAACAGCAAATGTTGTTAGACACCATTAAAATAGTAGCTGTCCAAACTCCAGCATTCATGAGCTAAACTCCTACGTTACATATGAAGTGAAAGGATTCAGAATGCGTGTGCTTAGTATGATCACAACGGTGGCAAACGAACAACCGTCATATCATCACAGGAAATTCACTGACACAGAGCAAGTTCTAAAGATGGCGGGTGACTCAAGACACTCTTTTCCCCTTACTTCCCTGTGGTATACATGAGCTATGATCATAGCACAAACCCGTAAATGGGTCATACAAATAACCTGTAACAAAAAAGCATGTGGGGCAGGCATGCAGGGTAGGGAGCAGCAGAGAGATGCCTGGACAGCCCCAAAGAGCAGGCTATAGGCCGGAGGGGAAGTCTTGCCTTGCTCATCAGCCCCTTACTCACCTCGGGAACCAAGACGACATAAGGCTCCTGGATGAACTGGGGTGCCTCATCATTAGCATCTGTCACCAGGATCGTGACTTTTTCTGCCACCTGAAGAGAGCCAGAGGGCTTAGGACCTGGGCCATTGAGACCTCCCTCCTCTTCTCTCTTCTCTTGTTTTCATGTGTTCAGGTAACACATATTCTTAGGCAACCATGTGGTGCCATGTGGTGGGTTATTTTGCAGTGATCTGCTAAGGGTCATATCATTCGTGTGACATTACACCTGCCGCCTCCCAACCAGGGGTAGCATGGGCAACCTGCGTGATGCATCCCCCGAGGCTTGGGTGTGCTGCATCCGGAGGTGCTGAGAACCACCCTGCCTGGGCCATGCAGAGCACAGCAAGGACACTGCTCAGAGGAGGAAGCACAAACCCCTGTGGGAGGTGGGCCAGGCAGAAGGGACAACATGTGCATAAAGTGAGATGCCTGGTGAGTTCTAAAGATTGCAGAAAGTTTATGGCTGGATGCACGGTGGGGTAGAAGTGGGAGGAAAGCTGGATGAGGCAGATGGTGACCGACGGGGAGGCTGCGGATGCCAGCTGGAAGCTTGGATTTCATCCTGAGGGTGGTGAAGGCTGGATCCGGGCGCTTTGTGAGCCTGGGGAGTAGCAAGACCAATGCTCCACAGTGCGATGTGGGGGGGTGGGGTGGAGGGATGGAGGTGGCCAGAGAGCCCACAGAGTCTGTTGTAGCTCTCCCGAATCCATGGATGAGGGCTACACAGGAGGACAGGCAAGACACCTGCGTGTGCAGGTGTTCAGCTTTCATAGTCTGGGCAAGGGGCCAAGACCCAGGAGCGAGGAGGCAGAGGGAGAGTGCGGGACTGAGACTCTGCAGAACATCCCTTCAACACATGACAGGTTGCTTGGCCTCTGTCCCCTGACCCTCCTTTCCCCACTACCTTTGGCCTTCCTGCAGCTCTCCCCTGTAGGCCTTGCTGGGCCCCTGGCTTTGTCAGGGAGGCCCCAAGGAGTTGGGAGGTGGGGGAAGGCTGGGGGAGAGGTTGGTGGTGATGGGAGGAAAGGCTGCCAGCTTTGCCCTGGCAGGCTTCCGAGGGCTGCTGTGGGTGTCAGCTCACCAGATTCAGGCCGTCAGAAATGCTGATGATGGCTTCAATCTCATCTTCCCTCTGTGGAGCACAGGGACCGGGTGAGTGTCTGGGGACACCACGGGGACCCCCGAGGCTGGGGAAGCCCACCTGGGCACATTAGGACAGCTCAGGAACAGGGCAGGATGGTGACCTTGGTGGGCCTGGCACAGCTGGAACCTGCCTTCCAAAGTGCCTGAGACCTTATGTACCAAAAGTTCTCTGAGGGCCCGCCACAATGGCTCAGTGGCTAAAGTCTTCATCTTGCAATCACCAGGATCCCATTTGGGTGTTGGTTGGTATCCTGGCTACTCTGCTTCCCATCCAGCTCCCTGCTTGTGACCTGGGAAAGCAGTCAAGGACACCCAAAACCTTGGGACTCTGCATCCATGTGGGGGATCCAGAGGAGGCTCCTGACTCCTGGATTTGGATCAGCTCAGCTCCCACTGTTGAGGCCATTTGGGGAAAGTACCAGTGGAAAGAAGATCTTTCTTTCTGTCTCCTTCTTGCTCTGTAAATCTGACTTTCTGAAAAAAGTAAATACATCTTTTTTTTTAAGGGATCACTAAGACCTTCCACAGTCCGGGTTACTGCAGGGCCCATGTCTATGGTGGCTCAAGTTCAAGTGCTCCCCAGGACCTAGTGTTGTCAGATCCCTGAATACCAGGAAGGCTGTGCTTCCAGTCTCCACTGCCCTGTCCCAGTGGCTGACTCAGAACTCCCTTACTTCCTCTACCCTGGTCTGTGGTGGCACCACAGGACCAGAGTCAGGGCCAGCTGGGGTCCAGTTACATGACCAGCTATGGCCAATCAGGCTGCTGTGGGGGTCTCCCAGGGAAAGCAGAGTCTGTGCCCTGCTGCCTGCAGGTTCAGGAGGGTGCAGATGGAAGGACTTAGAGCAAACTTACATTCTTGCTTTCAACGACTCTTTCCAACCCTGATCTGCTCTGAGTTTTCTGGGGGCTTCCAGGACCTGTCCATGGATTGGCATGCAAAACCCCCTTTGGGAGGTTTCTTCAGGACGCCTCAGAGTACATGCGGATTTAGTTTTAATTGAATGTGCTTAAAAGATTAGCAGAGCTGGCAGGAGCTCACTAAAGGAGCCCTGACTACTCAGCCTGCTGGAGCAAAACCTCCGGGAAGCAACCCAAGGTCTCGGGGGTGAGTGTGCCAGGGCAGTCCACATTGTTGTTCTCTCCTCCGCAGGGAGAGTGTCCAGCCCTGCCAGCGACCTTCCAGCCCTCACAGGTGAGCGTGCATGGCCATGCGTTGCTCCCAGCATCTCCCATACCTCTCTGTCCAGTTCCTGCACCAGCGTGATGTTCCCAAGTGTGGGGTCCACAGAAAAGACACTCCTTGCGCTGGGGTCAAAGCTGATGTGATAGGAGACCGGCTCGCCCTCAGGATCAGTTCCATTCAGGGTGTACACGTGAGAGCCTGCGAGGAGACACAGGGGGAAGACCTGGAACTCGAGGCCCAGCTTCTCCTCCAAGTGGCAGCTGCTTCAGCCCAGGGAGTCAGCTATCTAGACACTGAGTACGCAGTTTAATGCCAAAGGGAGGGTCCTGGATGGGGCTCTCGCTGCTGCCCCCTGAGCTACTGCTGCCCACTTTTTAAGTGCCACTCTTCAAAGCTGTCAGGGGGTTGCTGTCAGCCAGCCACAGGCTGTAACCCGTGCAAATGACTGACTGAGTTGTGCCACCTAGCTTTGTGTTGTTCCTCCACCTGGTGGTGACTCCTCTGTCAGGAGCCAGAACTGGGTAGGGGGTAGGAGGGGTGGCCCTTGGCGCAGCCCTGATGGACCCCTCTGGGGATTCTTCACTCAGTAGATTTTGCATCTCCCTCTTCCCCAACCCCAGCTTCCCACTTCCACAGGAGAGAGAGACCAGACTGACTTGAGCCTCTCCTCTCTCCCTGCCTATCTCAGCCAGCTGGATGTTCTTGAGGCTTTTTGAAGTCCCAAGGTTAGGGATGAAAATGCACCTGCTCATGGCAAAGCAGGGCCAGCAGTGCCTTCCTGCTGGGCTGGCAGTGCTGCAAGACCAGGTGCGCTGGTTTCCAGCCCCTCTGCACCCTGGGCTCCAGGTCTGGTCCTGCTGAGGTTGCCACGGCAGCCGCGACCTTTTTTCCTGTCTTTGCCTCCCCCTGGGAATCCTACGTACAAACAGGGCGCCCCTGGGAGCACGTGTGGCCTGCTGCTTGGTGTCTCCACGGGTTCTGAGGAGTCACGGGTTCCATCCCAGCGTCCGAGGAACCCAAACCTCTCTCTCCCTGGGGGTCGCTGGTGCAGAGGCTCCTCACCTACAGGTGTGTCCTCTGGGAGGCTAAACAGTGCCATGTTCCCATTGGTGCTGCCGACCCCGTTGTCGAAGAAGTGGGGAGCAAAGTTGGCCAGGGCTAGGAAGAGAACGAAAACAGAAGGACACTCATACAACCGGGGACAACTTCTCACCTGCTGAGTGCCGGGTGAGGACATAGACAAGAAAAGGCTCAGTCTCCCTAACCAGAGCGCGCTCAGAGGCACGCTTCCCTGTGGGCTCAGGCTTATTAGGGACACAGATCACCCAGGCGCTTAGACCACACGAAACGGGTCGTTCCACCCGAGGGGAGCGCAAGCCCGGAGAGCAGGTGCTGCTAGTGAGGCCGTGCCCCTGCCTGCAACCTGTCCTCAGCTCCGTGCAGCTCTGGGAGCAACCAACCGGCGCCTGGAGAAGCAGAGTGGTGCCATTGGGGCTCCAACTGCGGGGTCCCCAGGGTACAGGTATCTAGGGAAGTGCTGGGGAATGCCCAGGCTCCCAGACAGGTTCCCACTCTGGATGAGGATCCGATACCCAGCCCCCAGCGCGCACCCCATGCGCCTCGCGGTGGCCACTTACCCAGGCAGAGGAACAGCTGCCCCAAGGCCAGGGCGGCCCACGGGTTACGCCTCATGTCTCCGCGGGCGGGTGGTGTCCCTTGCCGCTGCCGAGGCCAAGAGCAAGAGCCCGGAGCATGCCCTGGGCGTGTGAGCGGAACGGAGACCACTGCGGGAGATGCGCGGATCGGTGCGCGGGCGCCAAGCCAATGACACTGCTGGGCTGTACACAGCTGAAGCACTCGAGCGCCACCGCCTAAGGAGACCAATTAGTGGGCACCAGAGCTCGGGGACCGGTACGCCGGCTCAGGGTGGGGGCAGAGGGCGTGGCGAGAATGCGCCTACCACGCCTCCTTTGCCTAAGCCTGGAGCTCCGTAGCCAACCAAAGCCGCCCCAGGATCCAGCAAGACGCTGGAAAGTCGAATCCCGAAGTCCTGATGGTGTCCGCGCCTCCCCGGAGTCTCACAAACTTCCCCTGGGATGTTAAAAGAAACTTCGCTCTCCTTTCTCTGAGCCGAATTCCTGGAAGCAAAACAGAGGTTGGCGAAGTGGCCAGTCTGAGACGAGAGCTCATTCTCAGGCGAAATAAGAAGAGCCTAGAGGAAAGGGGCTTGACCGCCATGGCTCCAGGGAGGGTATCGCCATAGCAATCCGAGTACCTGTTCCCTAGAGGCTGAGATGCTACAGAAAGACTAACAGCCGGGGAACGAGTGAGGAGAGCAGGTGGGTGTAACCATCGGCACTCCTCTAAGATCTCATTCCGCTCTTGCCCTGTCCCCCAACCTAGGCTGCCCAACAGTCCCAGAGGGTCTGACCCAATGTGTGAGGCAGCTGACCCACTTTCCAGCTACCCAATCATCGGAAGGCAGATTTAAGCCCCTTCTTGGGACAGACTTGTTAACAGAGCTGGCCAGTGCAAGTCTGGATTCTGCCCAGGAGGGCGGGAGTACCCAACCCGCGGGAGATGGTTAGGCAACGCAAACATTGGTGACAGAGGCCTCAAGTTCCCTGCGCTGGCCTCTGCAGTCTCCTGCTTTGACACTGCTGTGCGCTTGGAAATGCAGCCTGCCCTTTTTGTGGCTGGGATTACAGAGTGGTCACTCCAAGTTCAATCCAGGGCACTTCTCAGAATTCCTTTGTGAAGGTGTATTCCCCAATAGAGGCGATCTCTTTAATGCTCCCCTCCTTCTCCCAGGATGGCCCACAGCTGAGGGGCTCAGCACTCCTCCCCATTGGCCTGGAAGGAGCACAACTTCTCCCAGCTCCTGGGCCAATCTTTCCTAGACAGCTATTTAGCAAGGAGCAGGGACTCAGAGGGTAGGAAAACATGAATCAGGGGTCCCAACATGCCACCCACTTTTCAGAGATAACGATGCAAGCCCTTGTTTGTTGCATGTTTCTGCACACAGCATGCCATAGAGCTGGCACATCTATTTCTGCATCCTGGCTTTGCAAGATGCTGGGGAGACACCAAAGCAAGCACCCCCACAAGCTTATTGTGGATCCCTACTAGAGCTGGAGGCAGGGCTGTGGCATCCTAGCATGTGTGCCCTCTCAGGGTGTAGAGAAGGAGCCAGCTCCCCGAGGTAGCCAGTTCCTCTGCTCCTCTTCTCACTTTCACTCTGCAGTGCCCTCAGTGGACAGACTTGCCCTGGCTAGCATGGATTCACTCCCATCCTTGTTATCTCACGAGACCCTTGCACAGCCCTCCTGTGGCATGCTTGTCCCTGCTTTGCAGAGAAGAGAGTTCAAGCTCAGGAAAGATAAGTCACTTGCTCAGGCTCTCACACAGCTGGTGTGTGTGTGTGTGTGTGTGTGTGTGTGTGTGTGTGTGGAGAGGTGAGAGTAGAGCTTGGATTCAAATCCAGTTAGGGCAGACTTCCAAGCTGGAGCTGTCCCCACGGCACACGCAGGTGACTCTGAAGTTACTGAAGCTGCATCCTCCCTGGGCCTGGCTCACACATCCCTCCCATGCCTTCTGTAGTCCTAATTTCATGTTTGTGTGTTATATCCTTGTTCTTAAGGAGACTGCTTGTCCCTTCATTTGTAGGAGGCTCAGATCTGCTGGAGCAATCTGTGACACAACTTGGCAAGTCCAAAGTCCAGAGTAACCTGGAATGGAACCCTCACCTTTGGCAAAGCACCCAAGAGCCTGGAACAACAGCAGCTCTTCCAGCCCGACTTTGACCTTGACTCTGCAATGTGTAGGATCTGGAAACTGCCAGAAGTCTTACTAGGATACAGCTGGGAAAGGCTTGCTGTGACATGAGGCGTGTCTCCGCCTGCAGACCCTGGGCAGTCTTGGGTATACCAGTCAGCCCTGCAGGGTGACAAGTGCCCTTTCTCTTGGGACCTCCCAGCCACAGCACACTGCAGTGTGTTATCAGATGAAATCCTCTCTCAGCTATGTGCTGACAGCTGCTCCCCTGTGGAGTTACATCAGCTAGGGCAGCTATAAAGAAGTGAGAATTTGCGTGTCAGCTGCCAGCCTGGGCATGCATATGTGTCCTGCCTGGTCTGCCAGCATGCCAACCCAGCTCTTGTGTATGTCCTCACCTTTGCCTTTATCGCCAGCCCATGTATACACACACACACCCCTATACACAGCTGCCCATACACATACATGTGGTATCTACTCCCATTTTCAGACGCATTTGACCGTATGCACATTCCCACTGACTAGTGAATCTGCTCATATCTTTCCTTTGTGTGTAAATAAGTGTGCTGAAGAGATGCATACACACCTGTGTGGAGACAGACTCGGCAAGGTGCTCCCCATGCCGCTGGCAGGCTGGCGCTAAGGATGGAAGTAGTCAGCAGGTGACTGCTATTCTGGCTCCTCTTCAAGGGCAGGGAGATGGTCTCACGGCAGGTTTCCACGGCCCCTGATCCAAGTCTGGGATCAGTGTCTGGATCTGGTGATGCTAAGCCCTGGGAACCTGGCATCTTGCACTCTGCCACCCGTTTGCTGAGTTCCAACCAAATGATTACTCTTGATGAGGAACCTAGAGTGCGATTGGACACTGAATGTGATGCAATAAGGCCAGGTGGTCTGGGTGGGCCTGGATGTGTTGTCTGTGTGCTTGAATGCACCCTCCTGGACGTGACTCTATCAAGGACTGTCCGTCTCAGTCCAGAGGAGATCCTGAGGACTGTCCTCTGAGGACAACAAGGTGTACTCGGAAGTCCCTCCCAACAGCACTGGGCTCGGGGCGAGTGGCTCAGCCCTGGTTTGTGTGCCAAGGGAGCCCTGAAATGTGACCAGCCTCTGATCCTTATGTGCACCAAGCTAGGTGTAAGGTCACAGTCTTTGTTCTGACATGAGCTTGAGATCCCTCCATGCCTGTTTGCTTCATGGAAGGGGTCTAGGTGCCATGTCACCTAAGTTCGTTTGCACAGGTGGGTAAAATTTTCAGTTCTGGCTGCGCCTATTGTCACCCTACAGTAGGTCCTTGGCTTGCCTGCTGCATGGCTGAGTCTCATTAAGGAGGACCTCAAAGAACGTCTCTTCCTCTAGTATTCTGTCCCCCTCCCCATTGCCTCTGCCCTGGAGCCTCTGTTGGAAACCTCTGTTAGACAGTAAGAAGCATTGGTGCTGTAATCTGTCTGCTGGGGTGTCTGCAGGTGGAGACATGCCTCCTGTCACAGCAGCCAAGCCTTTCCAAGCTGGGGGAGCATCCAGGGGAGAAGCTGTGTTTATTTTTAGGTCATTTTAGTACACGCACAGGACCTGTACATCCTCAATGGGAAATTGTTGACTAAGTGACTGAATGCAGAGGCATGTGACAGTGCCCCAAGTCGTAGACCTTGTCAGCAATTGACACTCTGTGTGCCTTTGGCTCACATCTTCCCTGTCTGCCCAAAAATTACCTAAGTGGAGTAGCCAGTGCATATGAGTCGGGCAGGAAATGGATATGCGTGCCATGGCTGGGTGGAAGGCAGCCGGGAGTGGTGGAGACAGGGGCTCATAGGTCAGAATTTTTATTTGTTGGTGTATTTAAATCTTAAACCGAATGCACAGGCATGGCCACATTTGGATGTGTGGAGGAACTTGTCAGAACAGACAAGCTTGTAATTCAATTTCGCCTCATGCTTTCAGTGCTTTCCTAGTGTGTCCTGGTGGATAGTTAGCTGGCGTTAACAGCAGGTGTATGCCAATGGCTTATTCCAAGGATGCAGCCGTGATAGCTGGGTCTGTGCACGTGTCACCAGGCTGCTAACTGACAGATCAGCTGCAGCCACCAAGGGCTGACTGAACTAAGACACTAGACACCCCCACATTCTGGAAGCCTGTTGGGGCTTGCAGAAGGAGAAATAACTGGGTATATGTGAGCCAGGAGCTGATCTCTGCAGGCCCCAGAAGATGGGCTACCGTGGACCACTAGTCCAGGGAAGAGTTGGGAGAGGTGATGGGTACCCATCTGGGATGCTGCAAGGTCACCTGACTCCTTATTGTGACATGGCAGGTGCACGGCAGAGCTGTTACTTGAACCCCAAATTAGTCATCAAAGCTCACGTTTCAGCAACTATACCCAATGTCCCACACCCCTTTCCAAAAGTGGGGTGCCCCTGTGGCCACCATGGAGACTGTACACTTTGTCTAGCGATGCTACTATAATTTCCACCATCGTTGGACTCTTCATAGGGTTTCTGAGGGTGATGTATGAATTCCAGTTCTTTTTCTGGGTTTTCTCCCCAAGCCTGAATCACCTTGTTCACAAGGCTTGCCCTGTGGACTCACTGGAACAAGACAAAGAGGAGGCAGATTGCAAACAGCCAGAACAGGTTTATTCCAAGACAAACCCGAGAGGGACTCGCTATTCACGCCTCCCAAGGCTGCACCGTTTCACTGGGCTCCATCCAGAGCAACAGCGCTACAGTCCCTGTCACTCCTTCTCCTCCTTTCCCCTCCCCTCACTCGCTCTTCTCCACTTCTGGGCTAGGCCCAGACCTTTTATCTGTGGACCTTGATTATCTGTCTCCCCACCTGCAGCCATTAAAGGGCTGAGGCGCCTGGCATTGTGTTTGCCTTGCCTCTCCCTGTCTCCAAGAGGAGATGGGTTCAGTGACCAGGCATGTGGCCTCAGGATTGTCCCTCCTGGTTAACTCCCAGCACATGGCGTGCAGGAGTGTGTATGCGTGGGTGTGTGCATGGTCTCTTCCACATTTGGGTGAGGGGTTGGCAAGGGAAAGGTGGAGAGACAAGTGTGTGGGAGCAGCCTGTTGTCCCAGTGCTGGCAGCAAAGAGTCCATCCTCGTGAGGGTCTACCAATACAGGGGCATTTGCTGTGAACTTGGCTCCAACAGCCCACCCAGCCAGTGAGTTTCTGAGGCCATGTCACAGCTGCTCAGGCCCTTGCACCTCATCCCACCCCGTCTCAGCTCCAGCCCTTTATCCCCTGACCCCAACCCACCACATGCAGTATCCCCTGCCTACACTTTTCTGGATCCTCATTGCTCTCAAGAGAGACCCCACACACCTGGTACCCTACTCATTCTACTTCTAATTCTAGGCTCTCCACAAACTCATTGGAGCCCTCCAGCAGAGAACTTCTGGCCATCAGCCTTGTACCTGCTGATGTCATGCACAACTGTGTGGGAAGCAGGAATTAAGTTTGTCTCCTTGCTGGGAGAAACGGCTCAGAAGGAAGCTGTGTGGAAAGATAAGCCTCTTAGACCTGAGCCATCTGTCCCCTGGGAGCCTCGGCTAAGCTGCTCATTGCTCACCATGGCTTGAACAAGTCGCTAACCGTGCCACACCTCTGTCCACCCTGGGATCTGTCACTTCCCTTGGCTCTCTGGTGAGGTCCTGAGATGCCCTCTTGGTAGAGAAGGAACTGTCATGCTAAGAGGACGCAGCATCCTGAGCAGGCTGGGTTTTGTACCCTGCTGTGTGGGACTCAGATGCCTGGCTGCTGCCCTTGGCCCGTGCTCTGAGGAGGGAGTGGACTGCTGGTGAGGTGTCGGGACTGGTTTTCTTGAGCAGAATGTCACGCTCAGGTTTCATCACCCACTCTCTCAAACAAGGATGCTCCATGCATTTTGTTTGCGTGTTTATTTTTTGTTTGTTAGGAAGCAGTTTCTTCATGGGCGCTTGGATGCAGGGTTTGAAATACCAGGAGATATGACAGTTCTGGTCGTCCATGTTGGGTGTACACTACCCAGCACGCTGGAGGGTTTGGAAGTATCTGGTTTTCCAGCGGACACAGGTCCTGGTCATCCCCACTCAGCACGGCAGGGGTCACGGGGAGTCTAGCTCAGGATAATTCCAAAGGTTGGTGGCAGGTCGGGGTTAGGGCCTGGAGTGCCAGAACTTGCCCAGGGCTGTTGCTGCTGCTGCTGTTAGAGATGACAAGACCCCCCAACTTCACAACACATGGCTGTGATGGTTGGAAGGGGTCATTGAGGCTGCTGGGTGAGTCATGCACAAGCTGGGAGGGTCTCACCTGCATGGAGCATTGCATTGGGAGCTCTATACCTGTGGGAGTGCCCCAGGTACCACCCAGTGGTGAGGGTTATTTGGCTTAGGCTTGCACGGTCTGCAGGGCCTCACATAGTGACCTGGAAGGAACAACGGGCAGATAAGAGGGTGGGGGTGGAAGGCAGGGACATGGGCAGAAAGGGAATAGAGAGAGGGAGGAAAACGGAATTAAAATGAATTTGCAAACCCTGGGGTTATTGTCTTTTTTAAGTTAAAGCAAGAGTCAGATCTGATCCTTGCTTCTGAAGGCCATGGCCAACACAATCAGCCCGAGTGATGGCAGTCCATTGGGAGAACCTGATGTGCTGGCAGAAGAACTGCTTGTCCCAGGCAGGGCCACTTGAGTTGATTTGGGTCTCAGGGAGAGCCCCTGTTTCTGGGAGCTGAGGTAGGAGAGGCTCCTACAGGGTGTGTGTGCAGACCCCCCAGAACTCCACACCCCTGCCAGGCTTCTGCAGACACTGTGTACCCCAAAGCAACATTTACATCCCTGACCAAACAAGTCTTACTGGAGGGAGGTCCATGAGAAAGAGAAAAAAAAACTGTGTGTATTCTTCTGCTTTTTCTATGGTTTCTATTTTATTTACTTAAGAACTATTGGAAAGATAGAGATAGAGAGAGAGAGAGATCTTCCATTCACTGGTTCAGTCTTTGAATGGCTGTAATAACTGGTGCCGTTCCAGGCTGAAGTGAGGAGTCAGGAGCTTCATCTGGGTCCTCACAGGGGTGCAGGCTCTCAGGCCCTTAAGCCGTCCTCTGCTGCTTTTCTAGGTTCATTTGCAGAGAGCTGGATCAGACACGGAGTATCAGGGTCTGAAATCAGTACTCATCCGGGAAGGGAATTAACCTGCTACACCACAACGCCAGCCCCCTTTTCCTGCTGTTTTTAGTGGAAGAAGCAACATCCTGGAGCAGGTGCTGTACCAGATCTTTGGGATGCCCGCATCCCATATTCGAGTGCTGATTTGAATTCTACCTACTCCACTCCTGACCTGGCTCCCTGCTCTTGCTCTTTGGGAACAGAAGAATATGGCTTGAGTACTTGAGTTCCTGCCATCCACAGGCAGGACCTGGATGGACGTTCTGGCTCCTGGCTGCTGGCTCAAGCCGTTGTGAGTGAACCATTTGTGAGCCATTTGGTGAGTGAACTTGTGGGTGAAAAATTCCTCGCAGGGCTGATGTGGTGGTCCAACAGGCTAATCCTCTACCTGCAAGTGCCAACATCTCATATGGGCACTGGTTTGTGTCCTGGCTGCTCCACTTCCCATCAAGCTCCCTGTTTGTGGCCTGGGAAAGCAGCAGAGGATGGCCCAAAGCCTTGGGACCCTGAACCCACATGAGAGACCTAGAAGAAGCTCCTGGCTCCTGGTTTTGGATTGACTCAGCTCTGATCATTGTGCCCATTTGGGGAATGAATTAGTGGATATGGAAGATGTCTCTCTCTCTCCATCTGTCCTTTTCTCTGTAAATCTACCTACCAAATTAAAAAAAAATCTCCAAAAAATACAATGAAATTTGAAATGCATCAGTATGTTTGAATGGGGAACCAAAGAAGCCCAAATGAATCAGAAGGGTCATTAAGAGATGGTGATGAGATTATTGTTGTTGTTGTGTGCAGTATGATGTGGCAGTTAACAGCACAGAACCTAAAGCTAGGTGATCTGGATGCAACCTACCATTTACTGTGGGACAGTCCCCAGATGGCTTAGCCTCTCTGTGCTTTGGCCCCTCAGCTATAAGAGGGAATGGGGGAAGGTACCAGTAGTGCTAACTCTTAGGGATATTATAAGGATTCAACGGGGTAATGCTGCACCCACAAATTTCTATATACGCATTAGCAACACAAAACATAAATATAACAATCACAATTTATCCACAGTCTCACACCTTCATCCTAAATAAGAAATGTTGGCAATGGTGTGGTTTCCTTCTATTTCTTCTCCCCACTTGAAAGTGCTTTCTAACTTCCTGTGGTGATAATCGTGGTAATTTTCAGCACAGCTGACCCTCTGCCCTTCGCACCATGTCATGAGAATCTCCCACTCGCATTTTTGCTGCAGGTTCATGATTCCCCAACTGTCCCTTCCCACTCTCAGGTCTCAACACTTGTTTCTGGCTCCTACAATGCAAGCTGTGGTGCACGGGTTGCAAGAATGACTTCAGTTCTCTGCCCCTCTTTCGTAGTCTCTCCCATCAGGACCTGAGGGCCGGTGTCTCTGATTCCTGGTCTGAGCTGCTCTTTTGATCCCTTTGGCCAGTTGCAACATATGGTGGAGATGAAGGTGGGCCAGTTCTGCGCCAATATCTTAAGAAGGCCTTATGTACCCACTGATAGGTGTGTGAACGGGTCTGGGCTGGCCCTATACGGAGGGGGGAAGACCACACTGGGGAGACTCTGGTTGTTCCCTACTGACCTGCTGAGACCATCCTAAACTTACAGATCCTCGACCCCCCAAACTTACAAGAGACCCCACCTAGGACTAGGCTCATGGAAACTAACAATCTCCCACTGCTCTAGGACCCTGGAGTCGAGGGTTGTTTATCATGAAGCTAGCAGGCAGGTGAGGGTTCTTCAGAAAGTCCATGGGAAAAACAATGCATAGATCTCAATTTTGCACCAAAATAAACTTACCAGTAAAATGTTCCTTTTCTATTAACTCTGTCAAGATCCTCATAATTATAAGGAGCAAAAGGCCATGATGTGAGGCCCTTCTGATTGGCCCACGGGGCAGTATGGGCTACTAGTCCCTGAACGCCCTCTTCTGCAGGGACTGTTATTCCAGGCTTCCTTGTCCACCCTAGCACCATTATGGCCAAAATTATGGGTCATTTCCCCGCCATCAAAGCCACTTTCTGAGGACAGAGGATCTCCTGGTAAGGGCAAAATCTCTCTGGATAACTACTCTGAGTTTCCCACTATGACTTCTTGCTGGCCTTGGAAGCAAGGGAGGGTGGCATAGGGTTCTCAGGACTTGAGTGGTCTTTGCGCCCATATTCCTCAAGGCCCTTCTTGATGGTAGCCTCAGGACATACTGCAGGAAGGTGACCCAATACAAGCTCCTACAGGGCCACAGACTTTTCTTGCTGGGAGGAGGACTCAAACAGCCCCCCTGTGTGAGCCTGGGCAACCTCCAGGCTCAAAGTTAATATCTGACACCCTTGAAGAGGCAATTGGGTCAGCTGATCGAACACTCATTAGCAAAAAGCTGCTTGTACAGTGTTGCTACAGATTGCTACAGACTCGGTTAACACTTTAGAGGAAGCCCTTTGTTAAAAAGTAGATGGCTAAGGGTAGCTAATCGACCCTTCATGCACATGAATTTTTGAGGATGTTTTTGTCATATTGATCCAAAGCCCTGAGCTGCCTTCCACACACTGTCACCCTGTCATCCTCACAGTTCTCCAGCATTGCTCGGAGGAAAAGCAAAGTGAAAGTCCGAAGGAGGAGGTGTTACTCAGCCTGTGTGTGTCACTGCTCGCGCTGGCAGCTCAGAATGGCCCTGCTTCAGGCAGGTCTCTGTGCACAGACGCAGGCCTGGGGACCCTCCCATGTTGGGAAGCTGCAGCCCATGAGGCTGGTTGGACTTGCACAACCCCGCAGTCCTGCTGTTGATGACACCCCCCCACTTGGGAAGGCCAATGCATCTCCTCCATGTTTGCCCAGGGTCATTCCTGGGGGATGACAAGCCTCACCCCACGGAAACCTAGGCAAGTACTACTCCTCCCACTCTCCTGCCCCACCAACTGGTTTTAGTTTCCGGGGTTGGGATTGCTGGTCCTCTGCCCCAGTAAGCCCTTATAAGGGACAGTTTTGGTCCATGGTGACAGTGGGGCAAATGGAAACAGGGTCCCACCTGCCCATTTGCTGTTGCCGAGTGCTTCCAGACACAACCCCATGCCACGATGGGCGAGGGAGGTTTTATGATCAAACCCTTTTCCCAGATGAGTACATTAAGGTTTAGCAACCTTGCCTAGTGGCCTACGCAGGGGCACACAGCTCCTGGGGGTGGAGCTGAGATCCTACCTAGAAAGTGCCATCCATGGGGAAGTTGGCTTGGCACACCTGTTGCAGAGGCTGTTTACCCAAGTAGCTGTTTGTTGCCTGGGAAAGCGGCTGGTGAATCCGGGTCTCTGGCTCTGCCTCAGTTTCTCTTTCTGAGCCTGATCCCAAGGTAGAATAAGAACCAACCTATTTCTCAGGTGGAGTAAGGACCAAGTCTCCCCAGGATGGTTTCAAGGAGTGAGATGAGATTGCACAGGGAGACACGATCAGCTGCCCTCCTTGCCTCACGCGTTTCATTCTGCATTGTGGATAGATCTCTGTAAGGGATTTTCTTAAAGGCAGAAAGGAATAGAAATCCCTTCTTGACACAGAATCCGTGGCCTAGATGATTCTCCCAAAGCAGAACATGCCTAACACAAGGGCTATTGTCACACCCTGCACAGAGCTGGCCTGGCTGTATCTCCTCTGGGCTGTATGCGCTGAGTGTGGGTGCATTTGTGTGTGGGGCTACCTATGTTTATGTTCGTAGTGTGTGTCTGTGTGTGGTTGTGTGTTGCTATGTGAGACACTATGCCTGTGTGTTGGCTCGATGTATGTCGTGTTTATCTATGTAGTATATTTTGGTATGTAGTATGTGTTTCTGTGTACAGCATGTAGCATTGTGTCACATAGGTAGCATGTAGTGTATATATTGTGCTACATGTATAATATGTGTATTTCTATGTGTATGTTGTGTGTTATACGTATGTATACACACAGCAATGTGTGTATGTAATTTGTGCGTGTAGCGTGTATATGGTGTGTGCCTATATAGCATGCATGTGCATGGTATATATCTCTGCATAGTGTGTCTGTATGGGTAATGTGTCTGTGTGGTGTGTGTATTTCTGTGTATAGTATGTGTGTGTCTGTGTGGTCTGTGTGTGTGTAGTGTGCACACATAGTGTGTGTCTATGGGTAGTGAGTGTGTGCTGTGTGTGTAGTGTGTTTCTATGTGGTGTGTGTGGGTGGTGTGAGTACACACACATCTTCAATTCCCTCTAGCCCCGCCGAGCTGTGCAGCTGGAGCCAGGCAGAGTTGAAGGGGATGGAGGGCGTTGGGCCTTGAGGATTGGAGCCGGCCTGAGCAGCTCCCCTCCATCTCAGGGCTCACACCTCTCAGCCTCTGTGCCGGGCCTGTGTCACAGGTGGCTATTTTTACCCCGGCGCAGATGGGTGTGATGCCACTTGGGGGAGAGGTGCTGCCAGCCTCTCAGGGCAGCGGGGCTGAGGCTGGAGCTGCCAGGTCCTGCTGCCTCCCTCCGCCCCTCCTTGTTCTGCGCACCTGGGCGTGCTCTCTGCTGGGCAAGACTCTCAGAGACCAGGGAGGGCATCACGGCTCTGTGCTTTGTTGCTGGTCTTCTGGTCCACAGCTCCGGAGGGACAAGCAGTGCTGGGGTCTTCTGGGACTCCCGAGAGAGGCTTGGAGCTGCAGAGAGGCCGGGGGGGGGGCGGATGTTGAGGGTTGGGGTGCAGGGAGGGAGCGTGTCAGGTTCTCCAGCCTTGTCCTGGGGACTCTCTGCCTGCCCATGTGCCCCACCCTCTGCCACGCCATCAAAGCCTTACAACCCAGTGAATCATCTCCACGCAACTTCTGACTCCGGCTTGCTGCCCGAGTTTTGGGGTGGTTGGGGTCCCCCACAGCCTTCTCTGGGATTTGGGATAGTACTTTTTCACTACCCACCCCCACTCCCAAACAGGGCTTTGGGAGAGGGGAACTTTGACCTTCTGGGCCTGCCCCAGGAGCCTGGACACTAGTCTGCATCTTTATGGGTCACCTTATCCCTCACCAGCTGAGCCCTTGCTGGCAACCTCTACTGCTGGCCTAGGCTTCGGCGGCCGGAGCTCTTGTTGGGTTCTGTGTCTCCCTTCAGTGTGTGGCCTCCTCCTCTGTCTCCCCCGCCCACCTCCGTGCCTGCAGGCCCTTCCTCAGGTCTCCTCGCTGTCACCTCCCACCTGCCTACCGAGGGGTGACCATCCCCCGGTGCTGTTTCACAACTGCATCTTGCTCTTCTCCTTAATGGCATGTACTTAACTCAAAATGAGCAAGCTGCTGCCTCAGTTTCCACCCCATTCCTCCAGACCCTCAGCTCCATGAGGCTGAGATGCCACTGCTTGTGGCCCACTGCAATGCCAGCAGTTGATGCCTGGTACTGGCAGGGGTTCATGGTCCCATCTGGCCTGTCCCACAACCCACCCGAGGCTGGCAGGATGTGGCCGCTCACCTTTCAGGGGTCTCCCGTGAAGGGTGGACCTTGGGCAGCAGAGCCTCAGTCTCCAGGGCTTGGCAGTAGGTCTTCTCCCTGAGGGCACACACAGAGGAGATGAGAACTTCCCTTAGGTGCTTGGGGACATGCTGGGGATGCTCTGTGCAGGAGTGACCTGAGGGAACGTCCGCTCCTAGGACTCAGGGTTCCAGAATAGCCAACCAAGAAAATCCAAGCCAAGCCTGGAATCAGGATCAAGAGAAACAGTGGAACTTTTGGTCACTTAGTTTCCAAGAACAAGGAAATAAATCTTGTGATAATCAGGCAATCCGATGAGAAGCCACCACTGGGGTTCCCATGTCCCTTTATCAGAGGGTCTGGGTTTGAGTCCCAGCTCTGCTTCCGAGTCTAGCATCCTGCTCATGAGCCTTTTGCTTCTTGGGAGACAATCCACAGCTGGGAGCCAGGTCTCCCACCTTGCATGGTCTTGAGCCACCTTCCTCTGCTTTCCCAGGCTGTAATGAAGGAGCTGGACTGGAAGTAGAGCTGGTGGGACTTGAACTTGTACTCATATGGGAAGTTGGTGCCACAGGTGGAGGCCTAGCATGCTACACTATGGTGCTGGCCTCCAATAAACTTTTTCAATTCCATTTTCCATGAACTTTTTGAAGTACTGCCTGCCCTGTTGCTCCCTGAAAAAGCATTCGGGTCTGCGGTTTGGAGACATCCATGCCCTTTGGCACAGTAATGCTCCACTTCATGATCTAATCTAAGAATCCTGCAGAGAGAAACTGTTTCATTTGGGTGTGTGCCTTTTGCCACATCCTTGTGAACCTCCTAAATGTTGAAGTGCCAGCATTTGTGACAGCCTAAAACAGCACCTGATGCCAAATTAGACCCAATAATACTGGATGAATAATGCTATTTCAGGAATCTGCCAGAAATAATTGCAAATGGGCAAGAAATTTCATCCTCCCTATCTTGTCAAGGTAACATTGACAACCTTGAACACATCCCCGAACAGAGACCTGGTCAATTGTGTGTTGTGGGCTGTGTTTATAAGGACTTCCCTTTAGTGTTTTCCTTGGTGACGTGGGGCACAGGATCATGGCAGGCCCTTCAGAGAACAGAAATGTCCCATAATCCATCAGCCCACCTTGCTTGCAGTTCCAGTGGAAATGCTTCCAGAATAACTCTAACCGTAAGTGTATCAGATGACAATAAATGGCTCAATGTGGAACATACAGGAACATAGCAACTGGAAGTGTGAAATGGCACCTGAGACACTAGAAAAAACTAAACAAGATGTTGCAGAAAGAGAAGGGGAGAGAGAGAGAGAAAGAGAGAGAGAGAGAGAGAGAGAGAGAGAGAGAGAGAGACCTTCCATCCACCGGTATACTCCCCAGAACCTAAATGGCCAGTACTGGGGCAGGTCTAAGCCAGGAGCCAAGAACTCCAACTCCATCTGCCACCTGGGGTACAAGGGCCTAAGTACTTGAGCCGTTATCTGATACTTTCCAGGTGCACTTACAGCTGGGATGCTGATGCTGCAGGTGGTGATGGCTTAGCGCACAAGGCACAGCACCAGCTCCTTTCTCTCCTCTCCTCTCCTCTCCTCTCCTCTCCTCTCCTCTCCTCTCCTCTCCTCTCCTCTCCTCTCCTCTCCTCTCCTCTCCTCTCCTCTCCTCTCCTCTCCTCTCCTCTCCTCTCCTCTCCTCTCCTCTCCTCTCCTTTCTCTCCTCTCCTCTCCTCTCTTCTCCTCTCCTCTCCTCTCCTCTCCTTTCTCTCCTCTCCTCTCCTCTCCTTTCTCTCCTCTCCTCTCCTCTCTTCTCCTTTCCTCTCCTCTCCTCTCCTCTCCTCTCCTCTCCTCTCCTCTCCTCTCCTCTCCTCTCCTCTCCTCTCCTCTCCTCTCCTCTCCTCTCCTCTCTTCTCCTTTCCTCTCCTCTCCTCTCCTCTCCTCTCCTCTCCTCTCCTCTCCTCTCCTCTCCTCTCCTCTCCTCTCCTCTCCTCTCCTCTCCTCTCCTCTCCTCTCCTCTCCTCTCCTCTCCTCTCCTCTCCTCTCCTCTCCTCTCCTCTCCTCTCCTCTCCTCTCCTCTCCTCTCCTCTCCTCTCTCTAAATGCCCACAATGTCTGGGTCTGGGAACTAAGTCTCCCACACTCAGCTATCTGTGTCATTCCCTGCTACTTCCCAGGACCTGGACTGACATGAAGTCAGAGCCAGTTCCCATGAGGACGCTGGCTGTTAGGTCAAATGCCCACATCAGAACGGTAAATGTTAATGATGAAACAATAGATGCTTCCCTCCCGCCCCTTAACATCTGGATCCACAGATCCAATCCATGTTACAATAACCATAACTACTAAAACAAACAAAATACAGGTAGGCAGTTTCTAGAGGTTTAGGTAAGAGCAAAAGCTCAGGGTTCTGATTGAAGAAAGACAGCTAAGACCTCACACACACAGAGGAGAAGATCATGGTTTCCTCCTCTTTAAAGCTCTGTTTATTTATTTGAAAGGCAGAGTCGCAGAGAAAGGGAAGGAGAGCCAGAGGGAGAGATATTCCATCTACTGTTTTCACTCCTCAAATGGCCGTAACAAGCGGGGCTGGGCCAAGCGCCAGAAGGCAGAAGCTAGGATCCTGGAATTTCTTCCAGCTCTCCCACATAAGTGTAGGGGCCCAAGCTCTGGAACTATCCTCCATTAATTTCCCAAGCACATTAACAGGGAGCTGGCTTAGAAGTGCAACAGCTGGGACTCGAACTGGCATAAAAACACAGTGAGCGGTAGCATAAAGCAGTATGCCACAGCGCCAGCCCCCATGACTTCCTCTTCTAAACATGCATAAACAATGGCCTCACCCAGCCACACACGCTGCGCACCCCCGCCTCACGTGCCCATGGGTGTTTTCTGTGCATGCGGCTTAGGGACATACAGGTGAGTCCACTCCTTGATCACTGCATCCACAGCTGCACTGGCTCTGCTGCAAGCTTGAAGCAGGAACAGCAGAGTGGCTCTAGAAGGCGTACAGTGTCCAGCCTCAGGGGCCTGCGGGAAGCAGCAGTCTAGCTAGCCAAGGGATCATGGCTTTGTGTGCTAAGCACACAGCTCCACTTAGTGTGTCCATGCATTTGGGAAGGGAGCCTCGAGTTCTTGAGCTACCTGTTGGGACCACCCTTGAGGACAGGGGTGCTGTGTAGGGCCAGGAGTGACAGCCTGACTTTGCAGGTTTCAGGGCTGTCCTCAGGCCCTGTCCCCCAAACAACTTCTGATTGGAACCTTCCTGGATCCTGGTATCCCTGCTTTAAAGGCTCACACCCAAGGCTGAGGGTTGAGGGATGGGGGGGTAGGACAGGGGAGGACGGCTTACCTTCCACAGAGAAGATGAGAAGTAGGATGCAGAGCAGGCTGGAAAGGACTAGAAACTTCATGATGAGGTGGTTGGTATCTCTCAGGTCCTAGGAGAATGCTGGGCTACGTCTGTCTTTCTCAGAGCCACCGGGGACATATATAGTGTGACATGGTGAGGTGTGTCCCATGGGTAGGGCTGCAGCAGCCTTAGAATTCTTCCCAGAGTAGGATCAGCCGCTCCCAACAGAAAAAAACAAACCAGCTTTTCCAGAAGTGGAGAACATTTAGTGACCTGCACAAGATAGCTGTTAAGACCCAGTCCCACAGTACCTGGTGCAGCCTGATCTCTCAGCCGTCCGATCAGGAAACACCTGCCACAGGGAAGGCACTGCGTTTATGGTTAACTTTTAGTGTCAGTAATCATGCCATCAAATGCAGATCTCTCGGCTTGTTCTTTAGATATGGCTGAAAGAAGGGGCCATAAAATGCATTGCAAAGCCCAGGGGACTCTGTGCAGCACCCTGTGCCACGCAAGGGGGGCCCTGGGGTTCAATGACCTGCTGTGGAGTCCTTGCTTTGTCCCTGAACTTGGGTGCCAACCTTGAACTTGACATTGGCAGTCTCTGTGTCTGGGAAATGGGCACAGGGCAACTCTTCCTTCAAGGTGCCAGAGGACAGGTTGGAGAAGCCGTGAGCACCAAGGTGAACAATCATGGGGCTCTTAAAGAGGTGGGGCAGTTGCTGGACCTTGAAGGGTTCTTCAGCTGGTGTGGAGGTGAAAGGGCACTTGAGGGGCAGGGACAGCCGAGAGAGCCCTGGAGGAGGCATGAGGTGGGAGGTGGTGGTGGTGGGCATCCATCTTAAGGTAGGCACAGTGAAGGGAAGTCCATGCAAACTACCGGCCCTGGGGTCAGCAGGCCTCGGTGTCTGGAGGCACCTGTGCAGGGCTATCTGAGCTGAAGGTCACTGATATACATCGTCCATGGCCTTGACAGAGATGGCCAAGGCTAGGCAGGATGCAGGCACAGAGGCTGTCATGGTGAGCCAGGTCATGGCGGGCTTCCTGGACGAGCAGGGCAGTTAGACAGGCTATGGTAAGAAAGAAGGTGATGGGTCTTGCAGCCCAGTGGACACTGATGTTGTGGGTGCTTTGGGCTCGCCCTTTGTATGAGGGAGGGTCTCTGGGGTGTCTTTTTTATTTTTAAGATTTATTTATTTTTATTAAAAAGTCATATTCACAGTGAGGAGAGACAGAAAGATCTTCTGTCCACTAATCCACTCACCAAGTGGTTGTAACAGCCGGAACTGAGCTGCTCTGAAGCCAGGAGCCAGAAACGTCCACACAGGTGCAGGGTCCCAAGGCTTTGGACCATCCTTGACTGCTTTCCCAGACCACAAGTGTGGAGCTGGATGGGAAGTGGAACAGCTGGGACACAAAACAGTGCCCGTATGGGATCCTGGAGCATTCAAGGAGAGGATTTTAGCCATTAGGCTACTGCGCTGGGCCCTCTGGGGTGTCTTTGATAACAGAGCACGGGGTCTCTGAGCAAGGTGTACCACGGGATCCAGTGTCCCCCGAGGAAGTGGTGAGGATGGGTGGTGGTGGTGTGGGGTGTTCCCAGCCTTTGCTTGGGACTCTTCTCCAAGCCCCATTCTTAAACTGACTCCTGCGCATCCCTCCAAATCCAGCTCCGGAATCCTGTGCATGCACGCACACAGGAGCCCTGTGGCCCCTCTGCATGCTCTTTCCGTGTGTGGCCAGCTCCATGAAGCATGAAGCTGGGGCCCAGGGCGGTGAGCAGTAGGCAGGATCTTTGAGGATGGCGCAGGCCCTGCAGACCTGTCACCCTTTTATGTTCAGCAGGATGTCTCCTGTCAGGTGGGGGCAGTCTGGATGTTTTTACCACGCATTGTAGGACCCGTCCATCTGGCCCAGGAAGCTGCCATCCAGGAGGTAGACAAGGGGAGATATGACCGAGACCAGAGGAGGCAACCACTGAATCAGAACTGATGTCACATGCGCGCTTTTCTGATGCCAAGAGCAAAAAGGGGCCGAGGGACAGGCGACCACCCTGCTGGCATTGAAAACAAAGGGACAATGTGTGTGTGTGGGGGGGCATGGGGGCTGCATACGGTTAAGCATGGGTCCCTGGCTGTCCCTGGCTGGAAAGAAAGGTGAGTCTTTTTTTTTTTTATTTTTTTGACAATCTTTACATGGTTAATTAAGGCACGAAGGTTCAAGGGCTACAGGAAAGTGGTAAGACTATTATTTCCACATTCTCTCTCTTTTTTTTTTTTTCTGTATCTGGGGTAAAGGGGGAGATAAAGGGAGAAGCCCCACCCAGCCTCCCACCCACCCCAGGTCCCTGGTGTGGGGCATGCTCCAAGGGTCTTGCTCAAGTGATTTTGATGGTTCAACAGTTATGAATTGCTGCCAGTCTCGCCATTCCAAGCACGATGAAGTTGTTGCAGAATCCACTGATTGACATAGTCCATCTTAGAGTCTCCGTTTGCCCAGTTTTTCACTGCCAACATATGGCTGGGGTAGTTGATTGATTTGTTCTGTCCTCTGTTGTGGTGCCAGGTATCCTCTGCCAGTTCTGATAGACTGCCACATTCTCCATGTGCACCTGATTGTGCTGCCCACTGCTCCGTCTGAGCCTCTGAGGAGGCTCGGCTCTGGCATTTGCATTCCATGGCAGACCATGGAACCTGTACTTCTCTTGCTGGTTGGGAAGAACGCTGAGTCTTATGTAAGCAGGAGCAGCAAGATGGGTCAGCCTGCAGAAGTGCCTGTCTGGAATCCAGCAAGCAAAGACACTTGTGTACACTCATATACAGAGTTTGCATGAGTCCTTGCAATGGGGTGACCATCTGTCCTTTCCTTGAATAGCCCAGCCCTCCAGCCAAGGAGCTGCTGTGACTCTCAGCCTTGAAGTTCTCATGGAAGACCCAGGACCTGACTCAGCTCTCCAGGATCGCTTGGCCGCAGTGCCCTTCCCTTTCTGGCCCTTGCTGTGTGCTGCGGGTTCCAGAAGCAATGTAGGCCCACATGTGCTGTCAGCCAGGTGTGTGAGTCCACGGCCAGGGGCTGCTTTCTCAGCCAGCCTGTATGCTTGTACAAACGTGCATACACCGTTCAGCTAATCCACACCATGAAACTGGGTGGGGTGGCTGGGCTTAAGGATCCCTTATCAGGCTCTGTGTGTCTCCTTTGTAGCCTGATTCCTCCCTTGGCAGGAATCAGGTCATGCTAAGTGGGCAGCGGCCAGGACGCAGGGTGTGAGAAGGAAGACCTCAGAGTTTACCAGGGGACAGCTGCAGAGCTGGTGCCTGGCGGAGGCTTGGGGCGGCCATTGTTGGAAGGAGGGTGAGGCAGAGGTGGCCTTAGGACACAGGCCACCAAACGCAAGTGTTCTTCCCTTCGGTTGCATGCTCCGGGCCAATCAACCGGGCAGAGCTGGTGCTTCCCGAGCGTAGGAGTCCACCCGTGGTCTAATCACCGGCTGGAGCCACTCCTGGATTTACGGTTGTCTGGGGTCATTTGGGAGTGCCACTGCTGAGTTCTTGGAGCAGTAGCTGCTCACCTGTCACTTATTGTTACAGCCCAGGGACTTTTTGTATTAGCATGGCTCCTTGTTACTTTTGGCAATCGCTGTCACAGGGGAAAATAACCATCTAGCTGGCCTGGGAAGCAGGGACAAGGTCAGCTCTCAGAGCTGCATGTGGGCAGGGACACACTCGGGCTTAGCTGCGAAGCAAGAGTTGGAGCAGTCTCCCAGCTGGTGAGCAGAAAGATTTATCTACGGAAGTGGCTGAATCAACTGCAGTGCCTCAGCCTTCAGCCAGAATGTCAGAAATAGGCTTCTCCTTCTCAACACAGCTGCTTTCTCCTTACAGAACAGAGCTGCAGGGGCACTTCCTGGTCAAGAGCCAAGAGCGAGAGGAATCTGCTATTGTGGGGCTCTAGGCCTTTACACATGTACACATGATTGCATTTGTAGGTTTTCACAAGAATAGGATCATAGGTCAGAATTTTACCTGCTTTTAATTTTTAATTGGATTTTAACATTTCCTTGTTTAAATCTAAATTTGTATTTTCTGAACTGTGCTTATTTATTTGAAAGGCAGAGTCAGACAGAGATCTGTCTGTTGATTCACTCTGCAAATAACACCAACGGCCAGGGCTGGGCCAAGAAGAAGCCAGAATTCAGGAGCTTCTGGATCTCCCACATGGGTGCAGTGGCCCAAGGGCCATCCCCTGCAGGAGTGTTAGCAGGGAGCAGGATCAAAAGTGGGGCAGCTGGGTCTCTAATTGGTGTCCTTAAGGGGCACCAGCACTGCAGGTAGCAGTTTTACCCACCATGCCATTGAACCAGCTCCTATTTTTATTTGAAAAGCAGACAGACACATAAATACAGATCACCCACCTCCTGGCTCATTTCCCTCAAATGCCCACAACAGCCAGGGCTTGGTCAGACTAAAGCCAGGAGCCCAGAACCCAGTCACGGTCTGCCCCATGAGTGGCAGAGATGCAAGCACTCCGCCAACATCTGCTGCCCCCCAGAATGTGCATGAAACTGGAGTCAGAGGTAGAGCTAGGACTGAGACCCGGGTGCCCAGACATGAGATGTAGATATCCCAAGCTACGTCTTAACTCTCCTAAAAGCTGTGCCAAAGGCCTGGCCCCACCTGCTTCTTAAATGCTAGCAATGATGAGACTAATGTGACTCAGGCTCACACCAACACTGGGTAGGAAGTGTAAGCTCCAGCTCAGCCCCACTCCCCAAGTTTAATCGCTGTTCACAGATTTGCACCTGCTTTGAGCATTTCAAAGATAGCTGTCAACTTCTTACTGTTAAAAAAAGGAAGAAAAACACCTCTAACTCTTTATTCACCATCTCATGTGGAGCCGGGCAGGGAGAGGGAGAGGTGAAAATGAGAGGCGTTTTCACAGGAACAACTGTTATACACAATTTGCGGGTGAAACATGTTCACAGAACAAGCTTCCCACGGCTTCCAAAGGTGATCTGGATAACCTGGCAGCCTTCCTAAGCCGGAAGTCGCCAGGAACACGCTCGGGACACCAGGGAATTCACACGGAAGAGATAGGTTCCAGCTCAACTTGGTCATTTTGAAAGCCAGTTGTGAACCTGCCTAAGGTGCCCCCACTCTTTATGGTTAGAGCAGTTTGGGGCTGCATCAAATACTTCCGTCTTCTTTTATGGGCCCAGGAATTCAGTAATCCATCAGACGTGGCTCTACCTCCTTGCTCTGCTTGGCATACCACAGACCCGTATATGCTGGGAAAAGGCGGTGTGCATGCCATGTGGGGCACCAGCTTTTTGTTCTTGAATTCTTGGTTCACTTGAGAGAAGTGTGCATTTACATTTTTAATTTACTTAACCGGGAAACGTAAAATTTCCTTTCATAGCACCATAAAAAGGCTGTAGGGATTTCTCCACTAGAACCAAGTTTATCTGACTCAAAAACTGGGATTTCTTTACAGAGTTTGTTGAGAGTTCACAAGTAGCTGAAAAAAAAAAAAAAAAAAGCCCAAGCCTTGCAGTGGGCTAAGCTACTGCTTGCTGCTCTGGCAGCCCATGTCTCAGCACTGGTTTGGGTCCTGGCTGCTCCACTTCTGATCCTGCTCCCTGCTAAGTGTATCTGTAAAAGCAGCAGAAGATGGCCCAAGGGCTTGTGTCCCTGATACTCATGTGAGAGACCAAATAAAGCTTCTGACCTTCGGCTTTGATCTGGTCCAGCCCTGGTCACTGTAACCTTTTGGGGAAGTGAACCAATACATCAAAGACATTTGTCTCTCTCTGGAACTCTGAATTTCAAGTAAAATAAATACATGTGGATATATAAATCTACTTCAAGGGGAAAGGAGAAAGAGAAAGAGAAAGAGAGAGACAGACTCTGACTTCTGTTTGGTTCCCTCCCTGCTGTTTAACAGCTAGGGATGGGCCAGGCAGCAGTCACGAGCTCCATCTGTGGGTGGCAAGCACCAGTCACTTGAGCCAGTTTGCCATCTCCCAGGTTACATAAGCAGGAAATCTGTTAGGAAGTGAAGTAGTTGGGATGCCACTGAGTTCTCAGACCTGGGATCCAGAGGTCCAAATAGCATTGAACTCCCTGTGCCACAATGCCTGCCTCTGGAATTCTGTTCTTTTCCCACGCTGAATAATATTTCACCACATCCTCTTTATTCGCTCACCCACGCACAGGTGGACACTGGGGCTGCTTCCATATCTTGGCTATGTGACTAGCTGGTGCTGCAACGAGCACGGGAATACACATATCTCTTGGACAAACTGCTAGGACACACACCGGAAACGGGACCACTGGGTTGCCTCTGCCTTGTCCAGCCTCAGGCCCTCACTTGTACGCAAGGCTTATCTCAGGCTTCTTTGATGGGAAGTGAACTTTCTTGCTACAGTCTGGATTAAGCAAACACAAAAGCCCAAGCAGACACACACCTTGAATCTATGGTCTAAAGGACCGGCAGAGGGATTCGTTTTCAAAGACAGATTTTGGTGGAGAAAGGTGAGAGGACCAACGGAGCCTACGTGTAAGTGAGAGTAAGGAAGTGCGAGGAAGGAAGGAGCAGGTTGTGCAGCCAGGGGCCGGAATGCCAAAGTGTCCTTGCTTTGCCACTGGGAGGGTTGGGATGGGTCCTGTGTGCCAGCCTCTGTTCCACGCCTTGCAATTTGGCAGCGCTTTCCCACAAGTGTCACCTTGCTTCCTTATTCTCACCCCGACCAGGGGAGGCAGGGAGCTGTGCCATTCTGAGATGAACGTCCACCCAGCTGGGGAGTCACGATTCCCACCGCTGACCCTGTCAGGCCAGGGGGACCTGGAGGACCCTGGACCCAGTCCGGCAGAACAGGGAGATGGTGTGTTTTCCCCCTAGGTCTTTCCATTCGTTTCTAAAAATGGTAAAGGCTTCCTGGCAAATGTTTCAGTTTGTCCGTTTTCAAGGAATTACTTGGAGGTGATTCAAATACACTGAAAAAGACACTCAACATGCCATTTTCCCTGCCACCTGCTCATTTTCCTTCAGAATTTTAACCATGGCAGACTTTGTTCTAATTTCCCCTTGCTTCTTCCCGAACGATTCTACTTTAGCGAGGCAGGTGACCATCTTGCATCCAGAGTGACATCATTTGAGTATCTTGGAGGACAGTGTATAGCTGCTCAAGGCACATTTTGCCCAGGGACCAGTGGGCAGAGGTTGGATTCTCTGCACAGCACCTCAAGTCCTTCCCACAATGCCGCCCACGGGCTGGGCCAGACACGCCCCTTCCCACAGGAGCACCAACCCTTCTGGATTTGTGAGGACAATTACTCTGGCCAGGCCTTTTCCTTTTCCTAGTTTCAGAATGACTTTATAATTGCTTTGAGTCACTGCTGCTTTTTCTTCCGATTTAAAGACTATTTATGGAGAACCCGACAGGTATGCTGGTCTCTCCAAGCGTGACACACATGAGGGTGCACACCATTGTTAGGGAGCTGGATCCTGCCCCTGCTGTACAGGCTGCTGTCTCCAGCTCTTCCTGCTCCAAAGCCAGCAGGGAACACCTGTTCTCTCCGAGCTAGGTCCCTCCTCTGGTCGTCCACTGCACACCAGATGCTCTTTTGGATCAACGTGTCTTTAGTTCTTCATCCTGTGCTAACTCCTTTATGAGTCCCGAACAGGACAAAACCCGAGATCCCTATGCTTGGTGACCAGGCAGCAGTGAACCCATAATGCATGTTCCTAGCTTTGTTCTCATTGCTGGGGGAGCCCCTGCATTGTGGAAATGTGCATCCACCCTGTGACAGCTTACATCAGCGGCGAGCTGGAGCCAGCTTGTCTGTACTTTCTCAGGAAAGCTCTCCCGAGCCATCACTCAGGTGCCCTTCATGGCCACTGGGCTCACTGGCACAACACTCACACACAACCATCAGGGGCTACTACAGTTTGGTCTCTAGCTAGTGGGGTGCCTGCTACACCCTGTAAGTATTTCTATGTTAGTCACCTTTCTAAGCTATCATCAATGGATCTATAACTGTGTGACTATCCTTAATCCATGTTATCCTTTTTTTGGATGGCATTCTGGAAAAAAACAGAATGGCTCTTTCTTAGCCTAAAGGATTTCAGTTGAAAGATCTTTACTCTTCCTCGAGAATGTGTAGAAAAAAAATCACAGTATGTTAACAGGGGCCAAGAAACTACTATTACTAGCTTTTTGTTGCGTTAGAATTATAGTTAATTGGGGGTAGGCATCCTAGTGTAGTGTAGGTTAATCTCTCACCTGCAGCATCAGCACCTCTACAGACTCTAGTTCAAGCCCCCATGTGCTGTACTCGCGATCCAGCTCCCGGCTTACAGCCTGGGAAAGCAGCAGAGGATGGCTCAAGCCTTTGGGCCCCTGCATCCATCCACATGGGAGACCTGGAAGAAATTCCTAGTTCCTGGCTTTAGTTGGACTCACTGTTGCTATTTGAGGAGTGACCCAGCCAATGGATCGCCTAATTCTGCTTTTCAAATAAACTATTATCACATTTTTTACATTGAGATTTAAGGGTCGACACTCAGGGGATATCTTCCGCCTGCTGCTTTGGCCCTATGATGGCTGGGAGGCAGGAAGTCAACTGTCTCCATGCTGATGGCAGGAACCCAACTATCCAGCACGGCTGCTTCTCAAACACAGGCATCCAAGCCGTGTCTCAACGGTTGTGCCATATGTCTACCTCTCAACACTTAGAAATTACTTTTATTTGAAACTCAGACTTTACGGAGAAGTTGACAGAATTATCTTCTGTCTGCCGATTCACTCCCCAAGTGGCCACAACAGCCAGAGCAGAGCTGATTTGAAACCAGGAGCCAGGAGCTTCTTCCAGGTCTCCCACGCAGGTGCAGGGTCCCAGGCTTTGGGCCATCCTCTACTGCCTTCCCAGGCCACAAGCAGGCAGCTGGATGGGAAAAAGAGCAACTAAGATCCTGGTATATGCAAGGCAAGGACTTTAGCCACTAGGCTAGCGTGCCGGGTCCCTCTCATCAACTGACTTTTACATCTCAGTCTTTATTGTCTTAGTGAAGTCAGAAGTGCAATAGAAAGTCGCCAAAGTGAAACTCCACAGAGGAAGAAACTGGGCAGAAAGGCCAAGTCAATCGCTTAAGGTCACATGCTGAGCAGAAGAGCTGGGATTCCAACAGAGGGCGTCTTGCTCCCCAACAGGGCCGGCAGCCTTCTCGCCTCACCCTGTATGCTGGCAGCACACACCAAGCCAGTTGAATAGTACACACAAAATTCACTTGGAAAATAACAAAATCACACCAATTATCATCTTGCTGGCACTTTATTACTTCAGAAATAAATATTCTATGTACTTTGAGATGGTTAAAATAGTTATTTCCTGAACATTTCTCAAAAATAGCAATCATTCCAATAATCATGAAGACAAGGACTCCTCAAAAACCACTTTTTCTCCTCTTTTATCAAAAAGCGTACAAACGTCCCAAGAAAGCTCAAGTGACATATGCAGGACAGAAGGATCTGTCTGGGGCAACTAAGCTTATTTTTTTTTTCCAAACATGCTTCATAAAGATGAATTAGTTTTTGCTTTACTTTTTAGTGCTTACTCTGAGAGGGAATGCAAGGAACAGTTTTAGGTGAAAAACTGCTTTTATGATCTCATGTGTAAGTCAAAATAGATTTTTCTTGTCAAAGCTTCAGAGTTGGAAGACACACACGCAGCAAGCTTGTATGCCACGACGCCACTGCCACAGGCACAGCAAAGCAGGAGCCCAACACCTCAGCGATTCTCAACGTGCTGTCTGCGTCCTTACAAAAAGCAACACGTCTCATGGTCTGAATGCTTTTGAGAAAAGCTTGGAGGATATTTTGTTCTGGGAGATTCTGAAACGGAGCTCCTGCTGGCCTAGTTCCGGCAGGAAGTCTCTACAGGGGGCACAGTCCAGGGTGGCCCAGTGCGTCCTGCCCTGCCGGGGAGTCAGCTGTGAGCACAGACAGCCCAGGGGTGGCCCCAGGAGAAGCCAGCGCCCCTGTCGCTGCGTCAGTGAGGGTCCCAGAGGCAGCCGCCTGGTGCCGCTTTGCAAATCCTGGGTCGTCTCTCCCTGGCTCGTTGTCAGGCACACAAGCGCCAACAGACTTCCTTCCGGGTCCAGTCACACACCTCTGCATCATTAAACCCACGCAGGGAAGTGTCCCGAGTGATTTGCACTTCAGCTAGTAATTAAAAACAGGTATGAGATTTGACTTCTTTTAATAGAGGCCTTACTTTCTACATTTTAAAAAATTATTGAAACATGAGAATTGGAAATGTGTGCGCTTATCTGGAAGAGAACACTGAATTTATTCTCTACAACGAAATGATGGGAAGCGTGACATTACTGGAACAATTACACAGGTGGACACGTATCTTGTGAACTTCAAAGCAAGCTGCTTGGACAAACGATTTAGTGGACATCAGCCCCTGCCGGACAAGCGAGACGTCAGGTGCTGCACAGAAGCCCGAGCAGGGCTGCTTCATTTCTTCCTGTTGCCTCCAGCTGCTAGCATCGTTGCCACTCGCATAAATATATTCAGTGTGTCCATGTAGATCCCCAGCATCCTGGAAAGACAAGCACACCACAGTGTGTGCAAATCTAATCTAATAACTGTGACTAACTGCTGGCTACTACAGAAGAGAAAAAGAATACAGCTTGTTTGTGCTAGCTATATGAAGTGGAAATTGAGTAAAAGAAAGATGTTTAACTGGCAATCAAAATCCTGGACTAGAAAATCAAGCTTCACGTCTGCCAAACCAATCTTCTAAATGATAAACGGCAATTTTAAAAATATATGCTGACATTCGTTAGCACAGTGCTTTGCAAAACAAATCAAAACCCCCCAAAAGACAACAATCCAGGTGACAAAATCAAACACACACCTTTATAAAAACCTGCCAGACTGAAGGCTGGCATTAAAAGAAACGCCATTTCACCTTCTAAAACTGTCCCAGACACATTAAGAAAAAAGTCACCATAGCGTTTTATTTTTACATAAAAACCAAATTATCATTTAAAAAAAAAAAGGATAGACACTATGAACTCAAAAATATCTTTTAAATAAAATAACCTACTTTGGCCAATTAGATGATACAATTCTACTTTGGTAGAATCCAGGAAAAGACAGAAGGCATATTACGAAATCATCTCATTAAGCTGATTACCAACAAAATGGAAGAGTTTTCAATTTCTAAAACTATAAAATAGACTTTTCTATTAAAAACTTCTAAGAAATTTACGTCCACTTTCCAATAAACATATGACTAAAACACACTTTTTAAAAAAAGATTAACAGCATCCTATCAAAAAAGTTAACTGAGAACATAAAGCTAATGAACAGAAAAGGGATTGCCCTTTTTGAATTAAACAATTGGGAATCTATAAACTAGTTGCCCCATCAGCACAATCAGGTTTCTGGGTACAGCCCATCGAGTCAAAGGGAACACATAGTCCTAACCCTGGCAGCTGTGAGGGTGACCTGGACTGGAAACACGAGGTCTTTGCAGATGTGATGTAAGTGGGATGTGTTGTAGGATCAGGTTGCACTGGTTCAGGGTGGGCCATTAATCCACAAGGACTGGCGATGTTAAAAGAGACAGATACACAGGCAGATTGGCAAGCAGAAATGATGGAGACGGAAGTGTCCCGGCTGCAAGCTAAGAGGAACCCCCAGGATGGCCGGCCCAGCAGCAAACCTGGAGACCACGGACAGTCTCCCCCCGAGTGTGCCAACACGGGGTTTCAAACTCTGGGTCTCCAGAAGGGAGGAATACGTTGCTGTCTGAAGCCACCAGTTTGACACTTGGCTACACAGCTGGCCTCGGAGACCAGCACAGTGCTTAACAGAGGCCACACTCACACAAACATCTGTATGGAACAAGGTTAAGCAGACAGGCGACCACTTACGAGTTGATGGGATCGTATTTGTGAACTCCATACATCGGTGTTACTTCTGCACGCTTGATTACTTTTTGGGTATCAAACAGAAGGAACATGCTGAACAGAACTAATCCACCATACACAGCCACCGAGTACAGGGTGGCACCAGCCACAGAGGTGGGTGGCAGAAACATAGAACCTGAAATCAAAATGGGGGGGGAAAAACTTATTTTTGTCTTACAAAAATTTTCCTATGCTTTGGTTTGTTACTTACAAAAACCAAAGAAAACAACTAAACAATCCTTCCCCTCCCCTCTCCCCCTCAAAAACCAACCCTTGGTAAGCCGTGCAAGCAGGAAGCCAGCTGAGGGATTTGATTTACATTGCTCAAAGCCTGGCATGCTCACTCCTTCACTGGGTCATGCCCCACATTTCCCTCATATGCACGGTTCCTGCAGCAGAGCAGTATTCATGTTGTTCTAACCCAATTCCGGCATTTCAGATGTGCTTGGTAAAAACCAGTAACAAAGGCCGATGGTACTGCGAACATTTAACGTTTAAGAATAATTCAATGAAGCATCATGCCTGAGCACTTCAGGTACCGGCACAGCCGCTTACCCAGAGAGGACGCAAAGACGAGACCCAGGCCCACTCCCAGCGGGGCGCCCATGTTCAGGAACTTCTCACTGGGTGCGCACATGGCCACGGTGGAGAGGCCGCCCACAATGCCAGCGGTGTACCACGCGGCTCTGATGAGGAGAGGCCCCCCGAGAATTGCCAGGGGAGCCACCACTGCACCCATCACACCTAGGTAAAGCACAAGCACTTGGTAAGTGAACACCAACCAAGGGGAGACTGAAGTGCCATGTTAGTGGATGAGGCCAATGACCAGCAATAGGATTGCAGACCCCCCCTCCCAGACACTACCACCTGTAAAGCTCTACCAGCAGGTTCTAGGAAGCTGGCACAGTGCACAGGCGTACTCCCCCTACAGTCAGCTCTCGGTGGCACACCCAGGTGGCACACACTACTTGGACAGAAGCCCACCGTGCTTTCATGACATGTAGACAAAGAAGGATTAAAGAGGTCTAAGTAACTGAAACAGCTGCCTAAAGAGGACAACACAAAGATGATGTGAGCTTAAAACGGAGGAAGAGCCAGGATGGACATGGTTGACACTTTGTATAACAGGGCATGCTATCATAGAGTATTAAAGTTGATTGTAATTGCCAGATATTTATAAATACCTCCACAATAATTAGTAAAAAGCAACCACAATTAACAAAATGGAACTCCTTAATTTAAAAAAAAAATCTCAGGTGAGCTGAAGTGCTGAGGGGAGTGAGTTAACTATTCCATACCAGGTTATCTCAGGAACAGGGCACAGGAATTAGGGACCTAGTGCATTCGCGACACCAGTTTGTCACTTTGCAAGAGTAACACTTCCAGATCAAGGCATACAATACACTGAACCTCACAGTCATTTAAACATACTTTTCACTGTAGGAACCATATTAGATAAAAATTTTGACATGGGATGTTAGCAGTGGTTTTCTGATGGTAACAAAAACTTTTGCAAACGTATTTTTCTGAAGATACAGACAAAACCAAGTGTCAGGTAACCTGAGATCTGTGTGGTACTGGACACAAATCTACATGCACGTGTAGGCTGTTAGAGGAGACAGGTCCGATACGGAGGGTGTCCACAGTCTTTGTGAAATAGATAACTTGTCAGGGCAGAGGTTGGGCAAGGACGTGACCAGTATTATCTGCAGAAAACTGCATCTTTTAAACACGAGGCTTACTGAAATTGTATACAACTTACACCTGCGAAGAGCCACCCAAAAGTAGTAGTACTGAGGGCAACGATTTCCACCGGAACATACCAGAATGCAGCATCCACGCAAGATGCTTTGGTCCTGGGCTCTGCTCATACGATATGGACTGTACCAGCATTCCAGCTCCAATCATGGCTGCAAAGGTGGCACCAATGGTCTGAAAGACACGTAGCAAGGCGATACCAACCTCATATAAAAACAGAAACCCGCAAGTTTCAAGAAAAATTAGTCACTTCCAATAAACCAATCTGAAGATGATGAAGGACAACAAACCAAGTGCTGATCTCTCCTGGCATATTAAGGGAGATGGGTTTATTTTTGCTTTGGCTAATTAAATAAGAGTGCCCCCTACTGGGACAAATGCGAGCTGTTTAACCTGGACCATCACCTTTTAGCAAGGTTATTCTTGTTGCACCAAGGTGAAACAAAATCTGGGTAAGAATCCCAGGATGTGGTGGGAGTTGTGGTGTACGTTAAGCAGCTGCTTGAGAAGCCTCCAACACATACTGGAATGTGGGTTCAGGTCCCAGTTACTCTGCTTCCAATCCAGCTTTCTGTTAATGTGCTTGGGAACTGGCAGATGATGGCCCAAGGGATTGGGTCCCTCTGTGGGAAGCCGAGTGCTGTTCTTGGCTCCTGACTTCAGCATGGCACAGCCCCAGCTACTGCGGCCGCTTGGGGAATGAACTGATGGGTAGATTTGTTTCTCCCTATTATTCTGCCTTTCAAATAAAAGTATAAAAATAAGATTTTAAGTAATAATAATATAGTTGGGCTCCAATCCCAGAGGTTGCACCCTTCAAAAAAAATCGTGACTATTATTCTTAACTAGAACAAATGCTTTGGCATAATACAAAAGGCATTTTCTTTAAAATTGCTGGTGTCTGAGGTTGTGCTATGGCATATCAGGCTAATCCTCTGACTCTGGTGCCAGTATCCCATCTGCGCGCTAGTTCAAGTGCCAGCTGCTCCACTTCCAATTCTCCCTGCTAATGTGCCTAGGAGAACAGCAGAGGATGATCCAAGCACTTGGGCCCCTGTACCCACATGGGAGACCTAGAGGGACTTTCAAGCTCCTGGCTTTAGCCTGCCTCAGCCCTGGTCCCGGAAACCATTTTAGAGCATGCTCCTTCCTCCCCAAGTCTCACAGTCGTGCTCTCCCTCAGGGCTCTCCATCGGCTTCCTGTTTCCCTCCATGGCCGGCTCTCAGTACTCAGATCCCTCAGCACTCAGATCCGGGTGCAGCTGGCATTGTTGCTGCTCCATTCTCCTCACTGGCCTCCAATTGCTTAGGTCCCCTCACCCTGGCAATTAAATAACCATTTCTAACTGTGTCTTTGTCTCTTTATTTTCTTGAAACTTAAGCTACAAAGTAGATGTTATCTGATACCTGCTACAGAAATAACAAGGATGTTAACCTTGATTTCCAACCTGCCTGTTCTATTAAGCAGGTATTCAACACTGAGTAACAGCTGACATACCTGCACATATGTTTTCTTCTGTGTGTCAGCTGCAATTCCAACACAGACACTGTGTACACAGAATCTTATTGGATAGCTTTCATTTAACTCTTTTTTTTGTTTTTTTTTTCAGATGGGAAAGCTAACACACTGACTTACCACCCAGGAGCCCTTGGTCATGAAGTTCATGAGGACAGGAGTCCTGGTGACTGCCATGGCAGACAGAGCCGTGAGACTGATACTCCCTGCCAGGTACATGTAGGTGGAGTGGATTCTGTCCTTCACGTACTGAGGCCAAATTCTGTAAGAAACACAAACACAGCGACCTTATACAACGACAGGCCTGAGTGCTGTGGCGTTGCGTGCCAGCTAGGTGACCCTCAGAGAATACCACGGAAATCTAAGCTCTGGAGATACTATGACAAAATGACATACTACATATAAGCACTTCACACATGTAAAAAGCAATGCTTTTTCTCCCTTGCTTAAATGTCTAAGAGGGTTCTTTAAAAACTGTGGAAAAACAGAGCTATAATACAGAATTTTGGTGCAAAAAAAACGTTTAAATTTGTGGGCAGTTTTTTGCTAAGGTATGTATCTCCCACGGTTTCAAAGCTCCTCATGTGCCTTTGCTGGCAGAATACATCCCAGCACAGCTGGGACAGCCGAGGCCTGCGGGATCCTGCTGAGCAGAGTCTCCAGCAAAGGCGGTAGAGGGCCTCTCACCCAGAGCGCACTTTTGCCCCAGTCAGTCCTCGCATGTGCTTCTGCGCTCTCCCTGATAAGCGAACATCTGTGCTGTCTAGTCAGTTAGCCAAGGGCAAGCAGCACTCCTTATCTGTTCCCTAACTCAACAGTGCTGTGACCAAGGCGCCTTGTTAGCCTCCTTGAATGCTCCGCTCCCAGACATGACCTCAGTTCGAGTTGTGTCTGAACTACTGTTTTACTGAGTGTCTAAGGACTGCAACCCTGGAAACAAACGTTGTCAGCTGCCCAGCAATGCACTGTCCCCCCATTTCTTTTGGGTCGCAGGTCGCATCTCCTCCCCAGGAACCTGCAAGGTAAACTTGCACTTGGTAACGCTTGCTCAGATCTGAATATATGCCAAGGAAGCAAGAAGAGTTTCTATTTCTGTTCACGTATACACACATGGTGACGCGACACAGACACGTTCCCGGAGAGACCGAGGGAGGAAGGACGCTGGAGTCTGCGAAGTTGGGACTGCTGGGGAAGCATCTACTTACACAGCCTTCTCGATGGCTCCGATCTCATTAGACATGCCCAGGCCGTAGTAGCACAAGGCTCCGAGCCCCACAGCAGCCCCTCCAGCAACAAACCATCTTCCCATCTGATCAACTGCACGACACAAGAGGGAGCCACGTTAGCACTGAGGAGTTCCGAGGACAGCAGAGGGCCCGGCAGGGCCTCCACGGGACCTGTGAGGGGAGCACTTCTCCACAGCAGCCACATGAGTATAAACGGGAAGACCGAATAGGGTTCAGTCAGCAGACTGGGGCAGAAGGGCACCACTGAAGCCAAATTAAACAGCCTCCAAAGGGAAATGGTTAGACCACATAAACCTTCAGGCCCATTCCAGCTACACTGAGTGGCCGTTTATCCACAGCTATGGAGACACCTCTGTGATACACAGGGGTTGGTGGGGGCCCTTATGACGTTCTTAAGAAAAATGAAAGAAATAGCAGCTGAAACACTGCACCATGTTGAAAGGGGCAGCCACAAAGAGGAAGCTTTAGAAAAACAAAGAACCAAAGATGCACAGGGTGGCTGAGGGAGGGGATATTGTTGTAACTTAAAGTCAATCTCCACAGAGACGCCCTCCCCCCCAAAACCATGTTACTCCCCAAGGTGCAAATCTGACCACCAAAAAATGTTACTTTGCTGTCACTACATCTGATTTGGCCTTTAGGGTCAATTTACTGCTCAGAACGCAATGTTCTGAGGGACAGTGGTTAAGGCTCTCCTTACTGCAATCCCAAAAGAAAGATGCTAAGATTTTTAAGGGCTAGTGGTATTTTTGTTAGCTTTGGAAAGATTAACAACCTAGCTTCTAAATTCAAAAAGCTGAAACTCTGAGCTGACTTCTTCAGATACTGTCTGTCTGAGGCCCTAAGTCAGAGGACTGAAAACCCTTTGTGGACAATAAGTTTTTTTTAATTAAAACCTGTGTTTTGGTGATTCATCCTTCACCTGAAACATACGCAAGTAATGTGTGCTTGGAGAAGATTCTATGACATTAGGGTCGGTATGGTGACCTATAGGTGAATCTTCCTGTGGCACTGGCATCCCGTTTGGGTGGTGGTAGTCCTGCCTGCTGCACCTACAATCCAGCCCTCTGCCTAGGGACTGGGAAAGCAGAGGAAGATGGCCCCAATACTTGGGCCTCTGCATCCACAAAAGATATCATGTGAGAAGAAGCTCCTGGCTCCTGGCTTCAGACTGGCTCAGCTCTGGCCACTGGGATCATTTGAGGAGTGAATGTAAGACCTCCAACGTCTGTTCCCTCCCTATGTAAGTAAAGATAAAATTCTTAACAAGAACTCTTCAACTTCAAATGACCTTCCCTATCAAGCCATATTGTCTAGAATATAACATGTTAATTGACGCTTAAAATGAAGAAAGTAAAAGTTTCCTCATTTTCAAACTTACTTGAGAAAGCGAGTGAGTGAGCCAGGCAGACAGACAGGCAGTATTTCCCATTTGCTAGCTCATTCCTGAAATGCCCACAACAGCCAGGACTGGGCTGGGCCAAAGCCGGCAGGCCAGCACTCAGCTTGGCTCTAGCACGTGGACAGCAAGGACCGACTACTGAAGCTATCCACTCTGTTCCTGCAGGTACACATCAGCAGCAAGCTGGAACTGGGCATGCAGGAAGGACTCAAACCCAGGCACTACGTACAGGCTACCCAGAGGCTGCAGGTGTCCCACTGTACCAATGACCTGGCCCACAGTCAAGTTTCCAGTGGAAGATATCTGACTGGAAACTGCTGCAACCAGTGCAAACTACCCAACTTCAGTGGCTCACCAAATCTCTATGAATAACCGTATGGTTGTGTTCTTCTAGAGTAGGCACACAAGCTCGTCTGTCCAGTCTCTGGAGGATGACCACACACCTCCTGAAACCTCCCCATGGGGCTCCAGCTGACAAACTATAAAGAATGCCACTTACTTTTAAATATTTTTTCCGCCGAGGGTTGCAAAGCAGCCTCTTTGAGTTCTTGGCCAGTTTTCCCACGTCGGACTCCAATCCTGGTCTTGGTGGCATATTCCTGATAAGCAGTCACAACAACAGGACGTTAGTCATAAAAAACAGGACAATTCTTCGCACTAAAAAACTCGAGTTACAAATAGGTTCTTTCTGTATAGGTCATTTCACTAGAGAAAGCTTGCTAACCAATCTAAACAAATGAAATGTAAACCTCACCGCGTTCCATGGTTGACGTCAATCACTAACACTTAGAAAACGTAACTTCCTGCTTCAGTTTCAGAATACTTGTCTCATCAACTACAGACTCCACTTCTATGTCTAGTTATTATAAGCCCTAGTTAAGCATCAAGATGGTAATCTATTCATTTTTAAAAAAGAGTTCCTTGAAAATTTCATGGAAAATATGTATTAAAAATTGTATATGGATTTCAGATTTGTTTGGCAACCACATTAACTTTTAATTCCACTGTCCACAAGCCTTGTAAAGTGCCTTAATATAAGTTACATTTTCATCTGGGAAATGGGTTCACAAAAAGGGGTCTCTCCTGAACACTCTCACCTCTATGGTGGCTCATCTACAGCGGGAAGGAGTTCATTCAAGAGGGAAAGAGTTGTCTCCTTTTAATTTCTCTATAGTCCCTTTACTGACCTCACATTCCAAAACTCATTCACCCTAAATCTTCCCGCCGGAGATGAAGCGGCTTTCTTTCTGACCTGGCAGGTTTTATTCTCAAAATCACAGCTGAAATATCTTAACGTATTAGCTGTTAGTCCATGAGCAACATCCAGAGGTTCACCACAGGCCCTGCAACCCCTTTGTTGTGACATGTAACTTCTAATCTCCCACACTCTTAAGTTTTCCAAATATGCAAACTCGATACAGCCCAGCCAGCTTCACACTGGCCCTCCCTAGCCCCCAGGAACCCAAAGAGAGCGAGCCAAACACAGCAACAGGCAACATCAAGGTCATCTTTACCCTGCTGGGTGTGAGGAGCCACTGATTCTTTGTGATGGAATTCTTCACAACAGGAGAAGCCTTGGTGAAAGTTGGGTGGACAACCCTGGAAGGCAGTGTCCGGAGACACACGAGCCTTGCGGCCAGCATGGTGGGTCAGCAGCAGGTTCACCAAGCAGATCTGAAATGCTGGTTAGACACAGAAAACATAAACCCGTTAACCAATCAAGGCAAGGACACACAGGGGCCAGAGATGAGCAGGACCAATCATCTTCTGGTAGACAGAGGGAACAAAGCGACCTTAAAAACCTAAGATGCCCATCCCACAGCAACCGGTTTGGCAGGGAGACAGAAAATTTGGTGTCATATCTCAGTTTGACTAATAACAGAAGTCATGCTTCTGAAAAGCAAAGCACTGGCTATGTAACAGATACTAGTATCTTGGCAGGCTGGAGGGATCCGCATGGCTTTTCCATAGGTAGTTTTGGCTCTCATTCCAGCACTCAATGGGGGACATTTTCACACAAGGAAGAGATGAGCACTGCACTGAGTTCATACTCATCCTGAGTTGTATCACCAGGACAAAGGGCAGGAAGAGAAGCACGACAGCTGTTGAAGGTTAGCAATAAAAATATTCCGAAGTAACTTTTCCATATGCCTCACTGCCATGACAGAGGACCCCCAATTTCTTCCAAGAACTCAATTTTCAACGTGTTTCTCAGTGACATCTCTTTAGTAACACCTCCCCTTCACCCCTAAAAAAAGCATGTTAAACAAAACAAAACTGGATTCTCTAACTGCAGCACACAGAACACCAGCTAGCTGGGCGCCTGAAAGGGCCTCTGTAGAGAACCGGGCCACGCAGAAACCAGTTGGACCACTGATGCTGTTAGTGAACGAGGGACCAGCAACCCTCATTTGGGGTCTCAAGTGCCCCATCTGTTATGAACCGTAGTGAAATAGCGTTGCAATCACAGGGTTGGGTCTTGAATCACCTGCTTTGAGAACGGCCCAAGATACATCTTACAGACACCTGGGTCTTCTTAACCCCGCTGCTAACGCAGGGACCCGCACTATGTGTTAAAAAGGAGAATCTCCTCTCAACTAACAACTCTGAAATCCCCAGGGGAGTGTCCTTGCAGCTGTGCCACGGCACCAGAGGACACCTGTATTTGAGGAAAATTCCAAGCCTCCTCCCCTCAAGGCGACATCATCAGCCTAGGTCCAGCCCTCGGGGACAGAAACCCCAGAGCTCAGAGCAGCATCCCCGCTAGCGCCTAGCGTCACAAGGGCCCCTGTTAAGGATGCAGGGACCAGGCCCCCCACATCCTCGCAACCTCCCCATGTCAACGCAGGCCTCCACAGTACCCCATCGCCCCTTTATCTGCCAGAGCGGACGCCGTGACTCAGGGCACCTCCAGGGAGAGCCCTGCCTGACCCCCGTGTGTGGACAGCAACCCCTGCGCTGGCTCACTCGGGGGACAGCGACCCTGCCGGGCCGTGACGCAGCTCGCAGCGCCCAGAGGCCCCGGCTGGCCGCCCGTGGTCAGCAGCGGGATCCAAAGAGGGTCACCCAACCCCGAGGAGCGCCACCCCAGCTCCCGGTCACCTCCACCACGCAGCTCCCCTTCCGGGCCGGCGGAACACGCACGCGCCCACCCCTGCTGCCCCGCTACCCCAGCCCCTACCTTACTGCGCGGGCGCACTCACTTACGCAGGCTCACTGCCTGACGCAACATCCGGAGAGGCGGTAAATAGTACGAGCAGCCAATCATGGACAGGCTTCTGACGAAGGGGCGGGCATGACAGGGGAGAGGGGGCGTGGTTTCCAGGCCGGAGGGGGTGGTACCAAGAGGGAGATTGTTGGAAACGTCACAGTTAGCGACCACTTTGGCGTCCACAGGGAAGCTATTTCGCCATCTTAACTCTGGGCAGCGAGTCCGCCCTTTGCGTTTCATTTCAGCCTTTTCATGGGCAGTAGGTGCAAAGAGTAATCGAAATCGAAAGAGGCTGAACTAGAGTTGAGAATTGTCCCGGGGTCCCATTAGTTTCTTAATTTTTTTTTATGGCATTCGTTTGTAAAAAGTAAAAGATGTGCTTAATGTGGCAGTTTCTCAAGGAAGCTTACTTTTGTCCTACATTGCCGTTGTCCATCGCCTGTGACCTTGCCGTGGCACACGTTGCAGCCTCAGTCTGTGCCTGTTGGGATAGGTCTTATGCAACAGGCTCTGCGTCTTGCCAGGCTGGATTTGAGGACGATTAAGAAGGGTTTGTTTTCCGGGCCGATATCTGGGAGGGGATGGGAAGTTACATGACAGTGTTTTTCTGTCTTTGAGCTCTCTCGGTATAGCACCGTTTAAACAATTACTGGAGACTTACTTTTGGCCGAGCAGTATGTTGGGTTTTATACAACATGAGTAACGTGTAATGCCACTCTTGGTGAAAAAGAGTATTTAGACAAAACATAGTTACTGATAAATGCTGTGGAGAAAGTGCGGTAAAGCCCTCGAGGGTGCTATTTTAGATAAGAGGAGGAATAACTTGTTAAATTCAACCTTTATCTCCTAAGCAATTGTTAATTGTGATTTATGATCGGCTAGCCTTGTAAATCTTCACAAACATAAAGGTTGGTTTTCTCTGTGGATAATAAAAGTTTGGCAGCCGGCAGAATTCTTATCTCCTTGTTGTGAAAATGTCAGGAACCCATTGAGCATGAGCAATTTAATCTACCTTGAGATCTTCATACAATTGATTAGCTAGCAAATGAGATCTCTAACTGCTTTTGCTTATCTGCCCCCCCCCCCCAGTACTTCTGTTATCGGCAAAGAGAAGGGATTTACAATATAGTGTCCGAGTACATAAAATTTGAAAATCAGTGATCAAGATTTCTATTGATGAAAGCTGTTCTCTTTATGTAGGAAGAAAAAAAAAAGTCTAGCATATTTTTTTTTCTCAGGTGTGGGTCTTTTATGGCGTTCCCAACAATAAATATTGTTGTGTCGTATCTTTGAGGAAAGGGAGAAACCTGGGCATGTCAACAGGAGAACAGATTCCTGTGGCAGTAGGAGTGCATTTCCTTGCCTGAAAGGCCGATTAAGAATTTATGACAATGGTTTAAAAGGCGATACAGGCTGGAGTTGAGATAATGAAAGGGCAGAGTGGAGGTTTATGGCAGAGATTCTGTGCTGTGGTGGAATTCGCAGTTTAACGAGTAATTGAATTTAGTTGACCAGGATGAAGGAGGCACCTCTGTTTTGAATTGAGGGAGACTGACTAGATAATTACACAGTTAATGTAGAGGTAGAATACTGGGAGAGATAGGGATATGGGGAAGTAGCTAAGTAAAACTCAGCGTAAAGTGTTGGATTCTAAGTTCTTGGTTCCTAAGGATTTTGAGCAAGAGAGAGATGAAAGACAAAGAATCATGAACCACAATGCTATATATACACCACTTTCTTCTTCTTCTTCTTTTTTTTTTTACAGGTTGCCAACTGGTTCCTTAATTCTCTACTTGCTGGCCAAGTGGGAAGTGCTGGGAAAATCAGAGCAAAGGACAAAAGAAAATAGGTTAGATATAATAAATGTTTGCTTTGCCTGACTTTTCCATCTGGAGATGGGGTGTGAATGAAAGGGAGTTTGAAAGAGTTTGTGGGGGCTTTCATGTCTGGTTTCCCCTGCGGGGTCTCCATGCGAGGGAAAGTTTGGGGGTGTTAACATGGAGACCCACTGGCACCTGCTGCTTTTATATTTGCAGTAACAAGTAGGGAAAGATCAATATCTGACTCTCTCTCTCTCTTTCTCTCTCTCTCTTTCTCTCTCTCTCTCTCTCTCTATATATATATATACATACATGCCTTGTTAAGGATTCCTGGAATCTCTGAGGTCTGGAGAAACCATAGATTGCATCTTTGGGCACGTGCTTACTGCTTTGGATGCCTCAAGGTCCTTCCCAGAAGCGAGGGTGATGTGAGAAACGTGCCTAGGTAAGATGCCCACACGGTACCCGGTACCAGATGATCACTTCATGGGCAACGAGCCTGAGACAGTATCTGACTCTACTTGCCATTCCCAAAGTTAAGCCATGCCAGCCATAAAAAAGAAGGAGAAGGAACAGATGTTGGGAAGCAGATTTCTCACTGCTGACGATAACATCTGCATGCTGATGCCTTCAGCAGGAGGTGGAGTAGAGAGTGGACCCCCACCCTTTCCCTTCTAGTCCAAGTGGGGCTGAGGAGAAAGGGCTCTGAACTGCAGGGTTATTGATGTGCTAAGTCCTGAATCTGATCCACAAGTAGACTGCCTTGAACTTGACAGAGTGGGATTTTACTAAGCTGTCTGTCCTAATTGGGAGCCTCCAAAGCAAAGCAAAAGCAACATTGATTCCAGTTGAAGGAAAAGCAGTTCACTTTTGCACCTACCTGAGTAGTTATTTCTCAGTAGGCACTTCTCACGAATGTACCACTCAACCTATAGAGGAGGGCAGAAGTTGGAGAAATGTTGGAAGCATTTCAGCCTTCCTGGTCAGGTTACCAAGATAAATTGAGACTCAGAAATGGAAAAAGTGCTTCTTAAGAAAATGTAGCAAGGACCAACGTTATGGAAGAGTGGATTAAGCTGCTCCCTGGGACACTGGCATCTCAATTTGTTGTGCTGGTTTGAGTTCTGACTGCTCTTTCTAGCTCTGCTTGCTAATATGCCTTAAAAGGCAGCAGAAGATGGCAGCAAGTCCTTGAGTCCCTGCTCGCAGTGTGAGGCACCCAGGTGGAGTTTGAGATCCTAGCTTCCACCTGGCCTGTGCCTGGCTGCTGCAGCCGCTTAGAGCAGTCAACTGGAAGGTGGAGGATCTCTTCCATTCTGTCTTTCGCTTGGCTGGGAATCTTTCTCTTGCTCTCTGGTTCATCTTGACCTGAGTGTTTTAGTGCCGTACTGCCTTTTGAGTAGACAAAAAAAAATCAATATTAACAAGGGAAAACTGAAGTAACTATTAGCTTTAGACTAAGTAGACTGAAGAGTAAGGGGAATATTAGAAATAACAACTGATGTTACATGACCAAAAGTTAAATTCTGGGGCTGGTGCCATGGCTCAATAGGCTAATCCTCTTTGAAGTGCCAGCATCCTATTTGGGTGCCAGTTTATATCCCAGCTACTCTACTTTCTATCAAGCTCCTGGCTTATGGCCTGGGAAAGCAGAGGAGGATGGCCCAGGACCTTGGAACCTTGCACCCACATGGGAGACCCAGAAGAACCTGCTGGCTCCTTGCTTCAGGTCAGCCCAGCTCTGGCCATTGTGGCCTTTTGTGGAGTAAGCAATTGGATGGATGATGTTTCTCTCTGTCTCTCCTTCTCCCAGCAAGTGTTTTTTGAATAAAAATAAATAAATCTTTTATTAAAAAAAAAAAAGCCATGAAAGTTAAATTCTTCCTTGGCCCAGCAGTCTAAAGGTTTATGCAAGTTTCCAGCATAAGTTCCAGCACATGAACTAACAGTTGAAAGGTAAGAGACACAGCCATTCTTGGAGACATCAACTCTTTTAATCAATGATAAAGAATCAGAGAAGACAGAAGACATGAATGACAAAAAGCACAACAAATTGAACTCATATGATGTTCTACCTGAGAAGAGCATTATATACATTCTTCTCAAGTGCACCTGGAAAATTCACCAGAAAATTACACCATATTCTGGACAATAAAGCATTTCAGCAGATGGAAATCATACAAAATATATTTGATGACCACAGTGAAATTAAAGGAATAGCTAATAACAGGAAGATGTTCAGAAAATTGAACATCAATCTCCTATATAACCTATGAATTAAATAAGAATTCTCTTGGAAATATAGAAAATACTTTTAACTCTAAAAATGCCGCATACATATAAAATTTGTGGGATTCAGTTAAGTCAATAATTTCTTGGATTCATAGCACTCAATATGTATATTAGAAGAGAGGAACATGTTTAAATCTATAATCTGAGCTCTTACCTGAGAAATGAGAAATGAGAAAAAGACAAATAAATCCAAAGAAATCAGAAGGTATCAAGAGAAGAAATCAATGACATTTCAACCAGAAAGCAATGGAGAAAATCAGTAAAGTCAAGAGTGGATTTTCTGTAAAGATCAGTAAAATTGGCAAACCACTTTCTAGACTGCCCATGGGGGGAAAAATAGACACAAATGGTCAACATTAGAAATAAAAAGAGATGTTGAGGATATTAAAAGGGTAAACAGTATAAATTGCACCATTATGTCTCAGAATTCAACTAATGGATCAATTCTTTTGAGAACACAAGCTCCAGAAAAATGCCAATTCATCCTGTAAGAGAAATTGAATCTTACTGAAAACCTATAAATCCATCTCAAAGGCCAAATTACTTGGTGACCTACCAATTACATGTGGTAAAGGCAAAAGCAAATAAATATTTCTCAGGTTGTTTTGTTATAATTACCTACATAACCAAAACCGTATAAAGTATTAATAAGAAAATTATATCAACAAAGCCAAATCAAAGTCCTCACCAGGAAATCTAACTAATCCTTCTTATACATATAGGCACCAAAAATTCACAATATTAGGGAATCAAATCCAGGAAACAAGAGGGTTAATGCATCTTGACCAGAAAAGATTAAGCCTGAGAATGGACAAATAATTGGCATATTTTGTGATATTAACAAGCTAAAAAGAAAAAAAACTTGTTCAATAGTGTTGCTAAACACATTTTACAAACTTCAGCATTCATTCATTTTAAAGAACTTCAGTGGAACAGGAATAGACTGGAAACTCTGTGACATAAAGCAAGTGTTATTTTTTATTGTATTGAAATAGTTAACTATTCAGATAACTTCTTACAGTTGTAATCGATCAACAAGCAGAAATCAATTTTTATTTTAACGTATCGTAGTTATGCCTTACTAAGCAAACATGGTATCAAGAGCTTTGCCATTTTCAGTGATAACTACAATTCAGGTGTCTTAGTTCTTAGTCCTCAGGTAATAGCAGTCATTCCATTGTAATGATCCATGCCAATGATCTGAGAATGCTAGGCATTTCCTCATTTAAAACTTGATCTATAACACCAGAAAATTTTTTTAGATGTTGAGGAACGCATGTTTAGGCATTTTGCACTGCTCTTGTAATATTCTTGGTAAGTTGGAGAAGCCAACCATTTGGCCAGCCAAAAAAAAGGCATCTAATAAAAAAAACTCTAAATCTGCTTTCATATTTAATGCTATAAACTGAATGCTTTTTCCTAATGTTAGATACAAAGTATGGAATATGGAGCACCACTTTCACTGCTTTTATTCAACACTGTGCGGGAGGTGTAAGGCAACTGGTTAATGTGTGAAAAGAACATGCATATTGATTAGAAAGGAAAGACTTTTTATTCCCCCAAAAAACATGGTTATAAGAACAACCTTAGAATCTGAAAATATCACTGGATATGAGGCCAGTCCTCACACATATCAATCATTTCTGTAATAAGTACACCATTGAAATGAAAACTATAACACAAAGTTTGGTTCAGGTTATGTATGTTGAAAATTACAAAATATTGATGAAGTAATTTTTAGAAACAAATGTATTTGTTGGGCTGAAGGATCAAATCATTAATATGTTTACCGTCATATTTATTTATTTCTAAAGATTTATTTGTTTTTATTTGAAAGGCAGCTTCTCAGATAGAAGGAGAAACTGAGAGGGAGATCCTCCATCTGCTGGTTTACTCCTCCAGTGGCTGCAACATCTAGAGATGAGTTGAGCTGAAGCCAGAAGCCAGGAACCTCCTGCAGGCCTCCCACATGGGTATAGGGGCCCAAGGACGTGGATCATCATCCACTGGTGTGTCAATCTACAAGCAGGGAGCCACACCTGTGATTTAGATGAAGGACCAGCCTGCCAAGCCACTGTGCCAGTCCTGTGATATTCATCTTTTTTTTTTAAAAAAAATATTTATTAAATTAATTGAAAAGTATAACACATAGATAGACCTTCCATCCTCTGGTTCACCGCTCAAGTGGCTGAAGCAGACAGAGCTGAGTGGGTTTGAAGAATTGGGAACCTCCTCCTGGTCTGCCCCTTAGGTGGAGGGGCCCAAGGAACTGGAAATTCTTCCAATGTTCTCCCTGTTATGTTAGCAGGGAGCCGGAAACCATGCCTATATGGGATGCTGGTGTCACAGGCAGCAGCTTTATTCACCACACTGTACTGCTGCTCCCTTCCCAAGCTGATATTTAGATATAGTACTTTTGTACTAAACAAACAAACAAACATCGATAGTGGTGGTGTGATGCCAAGGTGTAGTAGGTTTAGCCTTCACACCTGCAGTGCCAGCATCCCATATGGGCACCTGCTGCTCCACTTCTGATCTGGCTCCCTGCTTATGGGCTGGGAAAGTGATAGAAAATGGCTCAAGTCATTGGGACCCTGTAACCAGTTGGGAGACCTGGGGAAAACTCCTGGCCTCAGATTGGCTCATCTCTGGCTGTGTGGGCCATTTAGGGAGTGAAGAGTGCAGGAATTCCCAGGGATGGAAGACCTCTCTTACTCTGTCTCCCTTTCTAACTGTAACTGCCTTTCAAATGAAAACATATCTTTAAAAAAGATCAGTGGAAATTGTGTAGATTATAAGTAAGAGCAATTGAATTGTTGATGCTGAAAGAAACATTAAGGACAGGAAAAACCAAGTTAATTTGTGCTTAAGCATATATCCAGTCTGTTAAGAATGAACAGCTGCCTTCTTTCGTGAAAGCACAGTTTGACTCAGTCTGCAAGGAGATGGCTGCCTGGTCCCCTGAGGAATGCTGCTGTGCTAGTAGGTGCGGATTTTTCTCTGCTCTTGGACTTTGCTTAAAAGTGGGTTACATGGTAGCTTACAGGTTGTGTGTAGGGAAGAATGAACCCAAAGACCTCATATACCTTAAATCTTGCACATTCTCAGAAGG